TATACTAATAGCGATATGGATCAAGATTAACGCTAATTAGTTTTTAATCACATCGGAAAGTCTGCATATTTTGCGGACTTTAGTCAAAATTTGATTTTTGCACGTAGATACTTGAATTATTTTATTATCCGCTAAAAAATTTAATCTAGAATCAAAGAATTTTAAGGTTTTTTATAAAGAAATCATTTTTTACTTCCACCTTTAATGCGCAAGTTTTTCCATGGGTTTGAGACACAAAAAGTGCTGACAAAAGTATTTTAGTCACGGGCTTTAGTCACGGGGTGGAGCTGGCGTCTGCGCATTTGCCTAGAGTGGTAGTAGAAAAAATAGCGTTAGCATTTAAGCTGTTAAATGATAAAACCTCCCGTTTTGCATTTTATATTGCACTTTCACGCAATAAATGAATCAGTTTATTATACAATTGTCACTAAACAAATATTACGACAGAAGGTACAAGTTCAATTTCAATTCTAATCGGGATTAATTTAATCGTTTATTGTCCCAATCACATTTTTTCTACCGTTTTGTATCTTATTTATATCTTATGTAATCTAATCAAAATTGCAAATTGTAAAATCGTCCGACGTTTAAAAGCCTCCGAGTTCTTGATTTCGATTTCATTTGATTATTACATATGCATTATTCATATACGCGTTGTAAATTTGCATGAGTGGAAACTTTCGTTATCTGCGCATTGAAACTAAATGCTAGGAAACCGGATGAGACAATTGCATCAAGCGACACTTCCTAATCTAGATAAACCGTCTAAATGAGGCATCATTTAAAATAGAAAGGGGTGACGATTGATGATTACTCATCCACTCGAGACACAATGCATTCTGGGTTATGTCAACCGCGCTATCGTCTGGACAAACATAACCTAACCTCAAAACACAAAACATTTAAATCTACTTAATTTTAATCACTTCTATTGTATGATTTTTTCCCTGTGTATGAATCGTAACCAATCAATATTTTGATGTGGATGCTTGACTCCTCGGCCGTTATCATCCTAATCGACATTTTTCTCGTTATGGAGCGTTATTTGTTCCTGCAGCTGGGCATTGTTTGACCACGATTAGTTTGCGGTCTACATGCTATTGTTGCGGATTGTTTAGTCATGCTCGCCGCCACTGGATAGCAAACAACAACTGATCCTTGTTCTCCAACTGCGCATGCGCAGAATACTCACCGAATCCTTTCCTGCTTTGCGCGCGCGTAGTTTTTACTGGTAGGTCACTCTTGGAGTCTTCGGTTACAGTTATTGCTATTACGATTAACTCTGTATAAACAGAACAACTATTTCATCGCAACAGCCAACAACTTCTGGGAGACTGGACGCCATGCTCCATATCAATCCATCTTCGGCGGTATCGGCGCGCCACAAAGTTCTCCTCACTTACAAACTGTACAGCTAAGTTCCTAGCATTCGTAATATCGCGTACAGTAAATTGAAACCGTACACGATGCAATAATTTCAAGTTGCTCCACACACGCGTGCGTTTTTATTTTGCGAGCGCCTCTTTTGCGCGTCACTTGAAGTTCACTCGAGAAGTAATCGATCTAATCGTTTATTGCCCGTTTAAATCTCGTGCGCGCGGCGGCGATAAATCTCTGGACTGTTCCAATGAATAAAATGAATAAATGTATAAAAACATGATGCTTCGATGCGTGTATGTTTGAAATTCTAACGCTTGATTTGCGCTCGCAATAACGTTTTCGATCTTTATTTGATTTGTATCCGACTTGATGGATCGCCATCCAATTTAATTCGCATTAATACACGCCCGGGTTATCGTCTTCATCTAATCTAATTACAAATTAATTAATAATGATATGTAAAATTTGCGCGCGAGCTTTATTATGCAATTAGTGCGGTTTAAATCGATGACTTTTAAATTTTTAATGGACAAACATCTTGAAATCCGCCGTTATGTCATATCCGGTGTGTGATTTTGACTCTGATCAAGATTTCCAGCGCCTGATTCACGTTTCAGGAATTCTTTTTCGTGAGATCCTTTCGTTTTCAACTTTCCCGTTTGGCGTTCAACGAACGCACACATAACATATCATCAGCTATCCAATTTCAAATGCGAAGCTCATGAAAGCATTATAGATCGATTAACTGACTCAAACTCAATGGTAACTTGCATTAAGACGAAGAGGAAGAAGAAGTCAAGTTGAGTTTCGGGTATTGCGTTTTGAACTTGAACTCTGGACGGAGAAACCGCAAGAGACTCACTTAAGATATAAGACATAAGTGCGAGTCATAATTAATCGTCGTAAAAATCAAATCGCTTAAACTATTCGAGAGCAGTCAAATAACATTCAAATCATAACGGTATTGTTCCTGTCCATCCTCTTGTGTAATATATTTGATTATAGTTATTTTCGTTTAAATACCTTAAACATTAATGTTTAGTGTTTAGGATTTTCACACTTTAGCTGAAAATGGCTTTCTATTATTTCCTCATTAGTTATTATTGCGGTTTATATATGGCGTTTATTTTCACACTGCAATAAATGAAAATTAATGAAGTTTACTGCAAAGAATTGTTGTTTTATGACATAATACACACAAATGAAGATGACTTTTAAATTTTACAACTTTTACAATTGCCCACGCATTAAAACCGAGCAATAATCGACAGTGAAACATTAAAATAAGTAAAATTTAATTTTTCTGTGTATTATTGATGATTTTTCAGCAATAATGCGTTTTTGATGTTTTACATAATTATCGGAAAGCGCAACTCGTTTGTAAGATCGTAATTGATGCAAACAGGTCATAAATGCATGTTGTTACGAGCTGCCAAAAAGACAACGCATTTTAATAGTTAAATTATAGATAAAATTACGGCCGACAACGTTTAGCGTTATGTGGCCGGCGCAAGTTTACAATATATTAAGCGTAATTAGCATCGAAGGCAAAACCGTGATGAATAATTACCGCACATCCTTCTGCGGGTCGTGTCCTCATCGAGCGCAAGTTTATTTAATCAATTAGACGCATCCTGTTTTTCAAACGCAATCAATTTACATTTGTCTATTATGTTTACATTGGTTTAAATCAGTATTATGCGATGTCAACACTTTTCTTTATGATACTGTTACTTTTGCTCGCTTTTTCGCGCCGCATCTTCTTCGCCGCCTTGTACGTCACCGTTTAATGCCTCGAAGATGGTCTTATCTGGCCGGTGTGTGTCGGTTCATGACTTGTTTAGGCTGTCGCGGCCGCAGGCGCTCAGATTGTTGCCTATTAAGTAGTGGGTATTAGCCGAAGTATTAAGTACTAATTATTGCATAACCGTTAGATCGGCATTCAGCGCTGGGCCACGGTCCATTCGTTACCATACGATACGGGTCTCTACACTCTGCTTTATTGGTCGCCATTGCTGCATTTCAGGCCCGATTCGGACGTCGTATAAACCGCCATAAACAACAAAGCGGCGAACTTTTCACCTAAACTTACACTTTTCCAACATTTCACAAATGTCACTTTGCTGTTTTATCGACTCGTGCGTAATTGTTTCTTGTTAAGACTGACACAACACGTGGAATTTTAATGAATTGTACCGGTGCTTTTTTTCCTTCAGCAGTTATTGTTTAATGTGTCCGTTAGGTAACAACATTTGCGCAGGTTCAGCCGTTACAAATCGTCAATTATTTCCAGAAATGTTTACGTGCATTATTAACTGATAAATTCATCAAATAACAACCACATGTTTTTTGTATAGTGTCATCAATCAATTATCTTTAATACTTGGATTATTTATTAAATTTTTTAGATGTTTCACTCATCTGATTACATATTGTTGCCTGTATTACGCATCTGCTAATTATTTCTGTTATCGTCATGTTTTATTGTTGTCTGATTAATATTTTAATTATCCTTGAAGTTAAAATTGAAATTTAATATCGCATATTAAATTACAAGTCACAATAAATAAATAGAATAAAACGTGTGAATTTTTTGTGTGTGGATTGATTAAGTTTGTTTTTCACTCGATTTTATAGCAAATATTTATCTCAATGAATCCTTTATTCATTTTTATTAGAGACCGACCGAAATTTCGGTTTCGGCCAGTTTCGGCCAAGAATTCGAGTTTCGGCTTCAGTTTCGGTTTCGGCTAAAAATGGCCGAAACTTTCGGCCGCACCGAAACTCACTTTTCGTGAATTGTTGTGCGTCGCTCGGCTAACTTCGGGGTTAATGGCGGTCGTTACTTGCCATCTCAGTTCGCTCATAGAGACTTAAATTAATATTATATTGAGTATCAAGTGACTATACGGGGACTTTACTCCCAAAATGGATTTTGTGTCTAAAAAATGTGGAAAAACTGGCGATTTGTAGGTAAAAGTAGAAAAATATGTTTATATAAATTAGTTTCGGTTTCGGTTTCGGTTTCGGCCGAAACTGATTGCAGGGCCGAAATTTCGGTTTCGGTTTCGGTTTCGGCTAAAATTCACTTTCGGTCGGACTCTAGTTATACTTAAATTTTACATCAAATACTCGACAATTGAGATTCTTAGATGCCTGCTTATCGTGTTTATCGCCGACGGTGTATGTTATCACATTCACAAACAGTACTTACGCACACACAGGCAAAATAAGCGGCTGATAACGTTTTAGATTTCGTATTTCATATCGCGCTACTCTCACTACTCGCATTCCGTCGTAATTTCGTGTGCGGTGTGTGTTCACAAACCGAGAGCATCGTTTTCAGTCCAACAATAATTCCATACCGACGATGTGCGCGTGGTAGAACGGTCAATAGTGCGAATTTACGTTTTTTTATGTTTTAAAAGTGCGAAATGGCGTGTGAATCAAAATTTATTTAACTTGAGGATTATCAGTGATTCTTGAAGTATTTTTTCATATTTTGTGTTGATATCAGTTGTGATGGCTTACAAACAAATTTATAAAAAACGGTACTTGTTACATATAAGTGTCCTGCACCGGATGTGTTATTGATTGTGTGGTTTTTTTTTGGGTTGCAGATGTGAGGGTATAGTTTTCACGGTCGGAGGCGGCATGGACGGTGGTGGCAGCGCGATGGACGCCACCGGCGGCGGCCAGCCCGAGGAGGGTTACCTCCTCGTGCGCATCCACGTGCCCGAGCTGAACGTGCAAAAGTGCCTACAGTTCCCCAGGGACCAACTCGTCTGGGACGTCAAGCAACAATGTTTGGCTGCATTACCAAAGGTAAAAACACTTTACAAATATTTTTATTTTAATCGTGACATTGATTGAAACAAAAAAATTTAAACACTGCAAATAGACGATTTTTATTAATAATATGTTAACGAATTGGTGTTGAAAAAAGAATAACACGCTTTTTCACTTATTAGCACCTGCCGCGGGACAAATTTAAACAAAAACGCAACGCAAGCACAAAAAACACTAACGACCACAAAAAAAAAATTGAAACTTTTTTAAATTTTATTATTTTCTGTATAATTTCCGTTTAATGTGTAAAAATTCGTTTTAGTTTGCAACTTTGAGACAGTAGAGTACAAGTACAAGTAATTGTGACATTTTGTATAAATTGTATAAACCCGTAATGTGTATATTGTACATTAATGTGTAAATTAATCATGAAAATTGTTGTCGCTTGGTTTTGTTCGTTTCAATTGGCGAACCGAACAAAAATGGCACTGTTGCGATCATATCACCACCACCCACTCACGATCTTTGCGTTGGCTGGGTATTCTGGTTGTGGTTGATTGGTAACACTATGCACATTCATCAATGCACTCTCTGCACAGGTGGCTTCTTGGTTCAGGGTAGGTAGCCATATTAAATAAATCAATATTAAATACTAGTTATTATTCACTCATGTTGCATGTTGTTTATTTTTGGTGGCTTGGTTAGAATATAATCGCATGCGTCATGCTCACGAATAAAGTAAAAGTTTTCTCGCGTTTTGATTCCGTCGCTGCTCTTGTTATGTAAATCATAATGAATTATGAATACTGAATACTAAATTGTGCTGCGTTGTTTTTTTTCTTCTCGGTTAATGTTTAAATAATACGCCGCTTAATCTAGTATTTTATATCTTGGAGAACTTGAGTGACAACAAACCTAAATACATAACAATGACACGAAATTCAAGTGAATTTATATTCCGAAAGAGACAATTAATAAAATATTATGATTTTTTTGGTGTTAAAGTAGGCATGAAATTTATTCAAATTAAAAATTTACGATTTGCAATTATAGAAAGTAATTTTTTAATAAAATAAACGTCACGGACATTAATTTTATAATTTGCAATTTGTTTAGGTACTTAAAAACTCAAGAATATAATTTTATTTGTTTTAATTTGATTTTTATTATTTATTTACGACTTATTCTATTTTATAACTTGCGATATTGTCAGCAAACAATAAATAAGGCATCGCAATGACTTTAATTTTCTTTCGGCGCGTTAAATCCGAAACAATAGTAATGTAATGATGAAACTTGGGAATTGCGCAAATTACCCACAATCCTAATTACGTTGATTTTGCTTTTGTGCGCGCGCGCATTCGCTTTCGTTGGGTGTAATCTTAATTTTATTCATTTTTCTATGCTACAATTATCTTCAACAAGTTATTGTTGTCACTGTCGTGCTGTCTCGCAATCGTTACACTTTTTAATTTGAGCACAGGATGCACGACAACTACTTAAAACCAAATTAAGTTAATTAGAAATAAAAAAAACTTTATTTCGGAGCGCATTTTTAAAATTTTTGCACTTTTTGCGAATATTTTTAAAGAAACTTTTATTTTGGTGTGTTTCTCCCAAACTTTTCATTTTTTACGTGAATTGGGTTTGGTTTTGGGTAAAAAATAAAAGAAAAATAATTTTGAATAAATTTGCAACACTTGATTCGTATTTTCTTAAGCTCGTCTGCGTGCGACGAGTAAAAACGCCGTCGTCGCTCCGAGGATAATAAAAGCTCGGGTCAATTTGAAACCAGATAAGGTCAAATGTCTATTACGTTTATTTGCATGCATCTCCAGTGCCCAGCGCGCCGCATGCGGCGTGCCAACGCCGTGTCCGCGCATTCCTGCCCCCTGCGCCTCCGCCCAATCCTAATATCCGCGCTTCTTTTATTTCATTCCCCGCCGGACCGCTCCTCCATTCTCATACACACACACATACACACACACTGCCAACCTCAACATCGTCCACCTGGGTAGACCTAGGCGCATTCTTCAGCCGCGTTTATTCCTTCATACACATGCTCCTTGCTTTCGCAGCTCTTGCGGTCATGAAATAAAATTCGAATGATAGAAACGACGCTCGAAAGTTTTGCGTCGTTGCAACTAGTTAGAACTGGCGGTATGTAGAGTGTAGTATCATCGCTTGAATCGTAAAATCGTAAAATTCCGCACTGCAAGCGAGCTGTACCACTCACGAGAGATGGAGATGCGTCCGACGGTCGGTCGCAACAATATGCATCTTGTATGCATCTTTGACTTTGACACGCGGGCCGAGAGGAGCCAAGTCGTGCGCGATTCTCTTCGTGTCCGCTGTTGTTGTTGCCGTTGCCTTAGTTATGTTAGTACTGGCAATAAGTGTAATTCTTCCTCGGCGCGATTGTAATAGGTGTTGGCAGAGGAAACACAACTTGTACGCTAAAATCAAAGCCAACAACATCCTCGCTTGACCTAGCGCAAGTTTAATAACTTCGACATTCACCTTTTGCGCATGCGCACGCTGGCGGAGATGTGTTTTACAAGTGTCATTTCGAATATTGAAATATTTATGCGAGACGCTAATGGAAAGCGTCGTGAAAAATCATCCCGTAATTATAAAGCCGGCGAGCCGACGCGCTAATTGTGTGTGGACAAAGTATGCGGATTTTAATTAGTTAAACGAATGTTATTACCATTCAACGCAACTGATTCCAATTAACTTTTAAACATCAGCGTGAAATTCAATAATTTCAACTTTCAAAGTGTTAAAAATAGATGGCAGCACTCGACTTAACCTAGAAATGCGCATTTTAGCAATTTTCCGCTCACAACATTAATTAAATAGATTCAATATCATAAATTTCCAATAATCAGCACTTAAATGCCGCGATGCATTCAATGAGCATGTAACCGGTAGTAGCACTAATCGAAGAGATAGTGCGCGAGCAACGAGCGCATCAATGAGATCTTGAACTTCAACTCTTGGACTTCTTTCAGTTCTTCTAAGTTGCACGCGCAGCAATTGGAATTAGTCGTTGCCGGGCGCGCAGTGGCAGCCGAGATAATCACGGCTGCTTCTTCTTCTTACTACCTACAATTAGTGTATCTGGTGGGTTCAGGAAGAAGTAGTTGTGTTGATTATTTAGTTGCTTAATAACGACTTGGTAAGCCAATTGCCCACGCGATTTATTACCGGCGTCATCGTTTTTCATCATCTGCTTTGTTTTCGATATATTGAGGTGAAAGAAATGTTTACAGTTAAATCTTTTCTTGCGAAAATATTTAAACTTGCATTTGTGGCGTTTGTAATAACATTGTGTGCATCTGCGCGTACTCTTTTCATTCCTTTCCACTCGGTGCTCTTATGTGGCACTTCTGGTAGCTGGAAGTAACTTCCAAGTGCTGCTACTATTACTATTACTACTAGTCGCGATGTAATAGGTTAATAAGTTAGTTGCAGCTCGCGAGCGCTCATTGCAGTCACCACTTCACGTCCATACTTCATCCTAATTCACAACTCACTCTCATGAAGAGGAATTATCAGCGCGCGATGTTTATTGCCGCGATCTTCCAACGAGTAATTTACGCTCGCGAATAAATGCAATAAATTTCGAGCACCAAGACAAATTACATTACAATGTGCGATAGGTTATGTTACATTCTAATGTCAAACACTGTCTAAATGTTATTTGATTGCTTTCAAAGTAGGTTATGTCATTATTTTTAGGTTATTTTTGTGTGAGGATAACTCAAATAACTGTATTTTAATGCATTTGTGTGACTTTTTGCTATCGCAGATGTGTAACGCCGTAAATTCTTTTGCTGCATAATTTAGCACAGGTTGTACTAGATGATCGGACATAATTTAACCATCTGTTGAGTTCTTTTCTACAAGAAAAAACGTAAAATAATAAAAATATGACTAGAGACATCAAAAAATTGATGTCGCTTGTGAACGTTTATTGATTCCATCGAATAATAGCAAGAATAAGCACCTGGGAACTTCATTAGCATTCAAAACGTGTAAAAATGAAGATAACAATCGTTAAATGTGGATCGTTTGCTTCTGTGTGAATATTTTTCAATAAAAATCTAAAACTAGAAAGTAAACTAATATTTAATGGCTTTTTATTTAAGATTTTCTGCAAAACAGTTATAATCGTAGATGTTTGCATGCTGAATTGCTTTCGCTTCATTTATCCGCTCGTAGCTACTTAATAACAATTTATTTAACATAATTGCTGCGTGTATGGGTCGTTAACAATTCCTAACAAACCTAAAATTATTCTTAAATTGACGTCTGCAGGAAGACAACGAGCTTGCATCTCGTGACATTGTCGTTGATAAAATACGCACGCGAACATATTTTACTGTAAGTTTCACATGTGATGTTCAAGGTGCGGAAGAGGAGAAAAAGCGCACGCAGACACGAAAAAACGTTCCGAGAAATCCATTGCATTATTAATGTTCTAATTGTTTACGACCGCAGCGTGTAAACGCCCATTGGAGAAACGCTAATGGTTCATTCAAATTCGTTGCCATACAGGACGTTGCATAATTTATCGATGGCCTTTTAAGTTTTAAAAGCGAAACAAAGTTAAGGTTAAGAGTAATGTTGTCATTGTGTATGCAACCCAATATGCATTTAATTGGCCATACGGGTTGCCCCTATAGAGAGTGTGTGTGTGTTAATATTCAGCTAATTACGATTATTCCAACTTTCTATACGTTTTTCGCTCTGTGTGTGTTTCTCGGACCACGCGAATGCAAATAGAACGCGACAATGGCACCGGCCGAACACAATGCAATGTTCTTTTATATTGCATTCGCATGCCTCCCATTTGCCTAGATTTGTCGTTCGGTTTTCATGCGCGCAAAACAACAATATGTGACGGCGGCCTCCAAACGTTTCTTCGACTTCTCCTCACACTCGCATGACTTCAACCAAACCGAAACTTTATTAGAGTCGAAGACAATGGCCTCAAAGAAATAACGATCATAATCATACCTGAGTGCAATGCATAGACAACAATTTGAAGCGTGTTTTCAGGACACAGGCCGCCGTAACACAATCAAACGCTTTCGGCGCTTTTGAGCCCTGAAAAAGCGAACGCACGAATTTAATTATTAAATTACAGCAATGGTGTGTTGCTATCGGGAAGGACAAATTTCATCCTTGATCATTGTTACTCCCACAATTAAACAATTTGATTGTTTTCGTTCGCTTTTGATTGATGCAAGAATTAAGTGCAAAGTTCACGCCGCAGAAAATAAAGCATGTCATGTTCTATTTTCGGTATTTTAAATACCACAACAAAGGCATGTTTTAAACATAAATATCTCGTCTTAATCTTAATGTCGAAAATGTGTGAAATGTAATTGGTATGATGATATTAACACCTCGTGTTGATTATTTATTCTAGGAATTGAAGGAGAGCTTCAACTACGGGTTATTCTGCCCGCCGGAGAACGGACGCGCCGGAAAATTCCTCGATGAAGAACGCCGATTGGGGGATTATCCATTTAATGGCCCCGTGGGATATCTTGAGGTTCGTATATCTACCTAACCTTAATCCTGCAGGCAACCAGTTTGATCTATACATAGCTCTGACGCCTGTACATTGTATTATTATCTTTTCCGTTTCTCTGCGAAATACGTCTAATTGCGTCTCCATTTCCCGGATATTTTTTATGATATTGCGTCAGGACGCACGTTGCACGTCAAATTATTTTTCCGCTTCTGTTGCGTTGTATCTACGTCAGAAAATAATCATCTCAAGGGATGGTTACATAAAACGATACAATATCTCTTTATAGGTTATATTTTTAGGTTAAATATTATCAAGATGGCGTTCGTACAGGAAGTCGTAGCAAGTAAAAGTGTTTTCACTAGTTTTATACTCATTTTTGTTGTATTTGAAAATGAAAATGTTTTGGATGTTTTATTAAAATCGTAACGTTATGTGAGTCTTGCCAGTCGCGCGCTTGATTAGCAATTATTTCACTACGTGACAAAATTACGCCATGCGCGAGGAAGTAAACAGGCGTAAACGACGCGTCGGCACGAAGCATCAGCAGCCACTCTGATGACCGGAATATTGCAGATTAGAAAAAGAGCAAAAATATTCCGCAGATAAGTACTACCTACGTACCTGCACGTTTCACGCGTGGCAAGAGTGACAGAGAATTTAAAACGTGCAAAAATGACTGTTTAATGCAGGTAAATCTCGAAATGTTTAATTTTAGTATATTAACACAGAAAAAATGTTATTTTTCGTAGAGTGCAACACACGACTTTCAACGTGATTGATTCTAATGGAATCTCCACATACAAATCGCTGTAATTTTATTTGAACTTTGTTTTTTCAACTTTCATACTGCCCGCTGCGCACCGTGATCCATGAATGAGTTTCTGCATGATAGTTGCCGGCAGTCGATTAATCATACCACTTTTACAGCGTGGTGTTTAGGAAATCACCTGTTTTTTAAATCTACATATAACGAGTAAATCGCTTTCGTAATCTATCAACAACTGACGAAAAAAATTTTTTTTGCAAAATTTTTTATTTTACCAAATAAACCTGTCAGACACACAACTCCAACTCAATCGAGATCAAAGCCAATCAAAGTGCATAGCAAAAAAAAACCGAAACTCAACTCGCGTTGACTTTTAAAATAATTACTCCGGTGCCTACAGCCGCAGGTCGCGCATTAGCATTACGTCATCTATAAATTCTCGGCGTGCAGATCAATTCGTTCTTATATTGCGCGATGGTAATTTACCTTTGCGCCTGCTTCTGCTTCGTGCGCATTTTCACACATTATACTGCATGCGCGCTTATTCTACTTTTGCTACTTTATTATGTATGATTAGTATACGGTGGCGGGTAATAATAGCGCTGGAAAAATTAAGCCACAAACGTCGTCGTGGTGGTCGGTTTCTCGCATTTCGCAAGCAATATAAACACCGGCTGGCACAATACGAGCAATAACTTATCGATTTGCTTCTTTACCTGGCGGGAAAAATCGATTGTTTCCCGTCTTGGACGGCTGGTCAAGTTGCGAAATTTATGCCCCGACCGATGGGTTAGAATCGTGCTGGTGGGATTATTTACCTGCGCTGGATTTTAATCCCCTTTAAGCCACTGTGTTTGTCTTCAGTTCATTAAACTATTAGATATAATCCAGGAGTGTATTTAATTATTTTAATTAAAAAATTTATTTTTTCTTTTTAAATTGCAAAAAAATAATTAAAAATTATTTCAAGGAATAAATTCTTTAATATTTTAATAAGTAGATAAATATTTCGGTGGGTAAAGGGTTAAATTTTGAAGGGTTAACTTCGGTTCTGCATTTATTGCCCAAAAGGTCCGATATTTACGTGAATAGTATTTCGTTGTCAGTTTGCGTCTGGACATCGTCACAGAATGTTTGAATATGTTTACATTTAACTTCGTGAAGAGTGTTTGAAGTGCGCAAGATGGAGGAGAAACGCGATAAACCAAACACGCCGAAAATGAACGCGTTTCAGCGTATTCACCTGCGTTGGACTTTGTTTCAGTTGAAGTACAAGCGGCGCGTGTACAAGATGATGAGCCTGGACGAGAAGCAGCTCAAGAGTCTGCATACGCGCGCGAATCTTCGACGATTCCTGGATTATGTCACCAACGGGCAAGTTGAGAAGATCACCAAGATGTGCTCGAAGGGACTCGATCCGAATTTTCACTGCCAGGATTCAGGAGGTAAAATATTTTCAAAAAACGTTTTTCATAATAAAAATTAATTTTAAATTTATGTTTGTAGAAACACCTCTGAGTATAGCTACTGGTATAAAGAAGCCTGCAAAAGTATTGATTGCGTTGGTCAATGGCGGTGCCCTTCTGGACTATCGTAATCGTGATGGTTCTACAGCCATGCACCGTTCAGTGGAGCATAAAAGTTTGGAAGCGATGAAGACATTGCTGGAACTAGGCGCGTCGCCGAACTACAAAGACGGCAAAGGGATCACACCACTCTACCTCACCATCACGCACAACGCTGATCCTGTCTTCACCGAGACGCTGCTGCATGACCATGCTACCCTTGGCGCGCAGGACCTGCAGGGATGGCAGGAGGTGCATCAGGCCTGCCGGCAGGGTATGCTTCAGCACCTGGAGCACATGCTCTTCTATAGTGCTGATATGAATGCGCGTAATGCGTCCGGTAACACTCCGCTGCACGTGTGTGCGGTGAATAATCAGGAGTCTTGTGCTCGGCAACTGCTTTTCCGTGGGGCCGATCGCCAGGCACTGAACTATGCCAATCAAACGCCATATCAAGTGGCTGTAATTGCGGGTAACATGGAACTGGCTGAGATCATTCAACAATACCGCCAGGAAGATGTCGGTAAGTGAAAGAAGCAAATTTATTGAAGAAAAAAAAAATCGATATTTTCATCCAAATCATCAAATTCATTAAAATTAGGTTTATGTTTGAAAAGTGCATGAATTGAAGGAAGATGCTAGTGCATGTGAGATTAGAGAAACAATTTATTCGCTAGTTTCGTTGTTTTTTGCACGTTTACTGCACGTGGGACCAAATTTAATGCCGATTTAATCTAAATCTAAACGAAAACAAGCAAACACGGTTGAACTTACAAAAGACTACAACAATCAATTTAACACAGAGTTTTTCTGTTGGATATTTTCTCTTCTCACTTCTTTTATGATTTGTCTTTTCGTTTTGTCGCCATTTGTGAACACAATGATTTTCAGTTGTCTATCGCGGCCCGCCATCGTACAATCCGAAACGGCGTTCCGCCATCGGATGGCTAAATCGTGCTCCGTCCATGAGTTGTCTAGCCCTTCCTCCATCCCCATGTCCCAGCGACCGCTCCTCGGCCCCGTACAGTTCGGCGAGCTCGAGTATGAGCGACGGCAGTAGTAACGTGCCGCATGGAATCGAAACAGACAATGCCAGCATCATCACAGGTACGTCCCCGAAATCAATTCTTAATTGAGTTTTTCTGTTTTATTTGATACATATTTTTGTGACATTTTGTGTTACACTCGAACAACAAACCAGTTCTAAACAATTAACTGCGTAAAAGAAAACGACTGCTTCTTGTTCATTGTGCATGCTTTTGATTCAGAGCCGAACCGACGCCATTTTATATATTTGCATTCGATGTTGACTGTTCTGCCTCTATAATTATCTATTCTTAGATGGCACGAAATCATTCTTAGCGCAATATTTGATCGTTCACAATCGAATTGTTTATGTTGTCAGCGTCATCATCGAGTTTTCATATCTTTATGTTGTGAGCAACGCTTGGAAAAGTTCGTAGTTTGGATTTTGACCGGCATTTACGACTGCGATAAAACTGCAGTAATCAATTCGCTGTGGAGGAGTTTTCTGCGACATGATTTTTAATGCCTTTTACACCTACTTGAATTAATCGCAGTCTCATTGTGATCCATATGCTTGCAACGTCTGCAGCTACGAATTTTTCCAAGATTTTCATTGATTTAATCGAAATTTGTGTTGAATTTATTCGATTGGTATTTTAGATAAGAGTCTTGTGGATAGTGACATTATCAGCGACAGTTCCGGTGTGGGAACTGCAAATTCAGACACAACTAGTGGAAGTATTTCGATGCCTGGCACGACGGTTGTGTGTGTCGAGGCGTACAAAGCCCAAGAAGAAGGACATATTAGTATTAGTCTTGGGGACATTATTGAAAGTAAGTCTTTCTTATGCGTTTTAGGATTCCTTGTAATTTTTATGAATTGTTTAGTTACCGGCGCGACTGATGACGGCTTCCTTGAAGGAATTCTAAAATCAGGCAGCAATAGAGTTAACGGTTTGTTCCCCGTGAATTGCGTGCAGGAAGTACGCCTACGCCATCATCACAATATCCAAACACCAATGATGGTTGCTCGTGACCGACAAAATGGCACCTCGAACGGTAACCGCAGTGATGGTGGTCGTGTTCTGGGACGTAGGGAGAGTACCTCGAAACATTTCGCGACTGCACCTAGAGTGAAAAAGAACTTCAACCAAATTGGGTATGAACCGCGCACGGTGGTGTTGCATCGAGGTCGCAAAGGTTTCGGTTTCATTTTGAGAGGTGCTAAGGCCACCTCGCCGTTAATGGAGTTGACACCTTCGGAAAAGTGTCCAGCACTGCAATATTTGGATGATGTGGATCCAGGAGGAGTGGCGGACATGGCTGGTTTGCGTAAAGGAGACTTCCTATTGGAGATCAATAAAGAAGACGTCTCATCAGCGTCGCATGAACACGTCGTGGACTTAATTCGGAAGTCTGGGGATCTGGTTTCCATGACGGTGGTTTCAATAGCACACACTCCGGGTGTTCTCCCAACGAGTAAAAGTACCATTCTGCAACCTGGCAGTTGTGATGTGCCCTTGAGTAGAGCTTATGCTACACTACCTAGAAAGATGGGTAACAATAATGGTACTGGTACATTGACGCGTAGTCAAGCCCCCATGCCACCTAGGCGTGATCCTAAGACCACATTGAGTGTGGGACGTGCGCGGGCGAAGAGCATGGTCGCCGGCCTAGAAGCAGAGAAAGAAGAGACTGATGACATCACCAAGTCGAGCTCGGCAGAGTCGATCCACCAGGGGACGCCGACCATTGGCACACCTGTGCAACCACGTACGGCGTCAATACGACAACGACCAACTTCAAGTCGCATCACCTCCGCTGAATTGGAAGAACTATTTGAGAGGCAACGTGGCGAAGATAACCGTACCACGTCACTCATGACCAGTTCCAACTTCCAAACACATAGCTCGCCGAACAAAGGTCGCGTTTACGCCAGTGTTGCTGAAATGAAACGCTCCAAAAGCAAGGCGACGAAGGTCCGCTTCGTTGGGTCAAACATTAGTGAACTCCATCGCGATTTTCATAGCACACCAGATCTGGCCGCCGCTCTGGCAGCGGCGTCTAGTTTAGGTAAACCACATCGAAGCCAGGAGGATGTGAGTCTCAATCGTGCTCTGCCACCACCTACGCATCCACCACCGCCGCCTCCCACAGGAGTTCAGGTGGTCAAGCTGGAATTGCGCAGCGACTACGAGAACTTCAACAATAAGGACGGCAAAGAGGAAGGTATTGTGAGTTCGTTTAGACCAACGGCGGCAGCGAAACTGTACGCGTCCCCCGAGGATATGAAAACGGTCGGGTATCGGTCTAAATCGCTGCCGAATTCGAATCGTGGCCTGCGGAAAAGTCACAGCCTACGGACCAGCTCCACATTCAAACCCCCCGACGCCGCCAACACGAATCCGTACGCGCAGCCGATTAATCGCGCGTCGCGCTCACATTCGCTCACCGGCGCTGGTGCGGGCAACAGAAAGAAACGGTTGAGCGTGGATAACGGCACTCCGCCGATTCCCGAGCCCGATTATAGCTGTTCAGATAGTGAGAGTGAAGACGAAAAGGGCAAGATGAGGCTACAAAGTCTACCACAACCGATCGAGAATAGTGGTAACAGTAATGCAAGGTAAACTAATCTTAACAAAATGGTGGAATTGTGTAACTAATTTATTTTTTATTGTAAATAGTGGTAGTAGCAGCGGAAGCAGTTCGATTCCACACAGTTTCAGTGTGGACGAGATACAGAAAGGCAGGTCCTTGCTCCGTTCGTCCAAATCTTACCCCGACGACTTCCTCAAAAAGCAAGCGGCGGCGTTGGAAGATGGCGACAACAGTTCATCTGGAGTCAGCTCTGATCAAGAAATACCACCACCTAATCTACACGAATATTCAGCCGAACGTGAAAGTAGTACTAGTTTAAACAAGTCGAATCGACAACAAATTGGTACGTTTTCTTGGGATTTCAAGTAAATTTTTACTAATTTGATTCTTCACTCGTAGGAATTGTGTCCAGACATGCAGTGTCGTTAGCTCAATTACCACCGCCGATGGAAAGCGACCAAGATGACGACTTCTGCTTGCCACCACCGCCGGAATTCGGCGAACATGGCGAACCTCTGCAAACGGATGCTGTCCTCGCACCACCGCCACAATTCAGTGATCTTTCCGGTGGCGTTTCGAAAGTCCGCATCGTGGGCGCCGTGCCCAAAACGCCAACGATGGCGAAACTCAAGCAGGGCCGACTGCACAGCCAATAACGCGCTCCCACAGCGCCAGCGTCAACATCACCACGAAGCAGTCATTAATTTATTTTACTTTCAAGTCCCAACCCAAAATAGAATCGATAAAAGTATAACGAAAATGAGTACATGCAATTATAAACGAAGTGAGCAGCACACAGACAACTTGCAACCAAAACTTGTAACAACATAGTCAATTTTTAAGTGGATTTCCCGAAACAATAAGCAAGTATACAACGTGCGAGGTTTTTTCGAATGCGAGATGCAATTTTTAGAGCACAATATGAAGCTTTTTCCTATAATAACTATTACGATACCAATTTTACAATACAATAAGGAATTGAACATCAGACGAAATGCATCACTATTGAATGTTTCAAATAATCACAAACACACTCACAAGTTTTTCAATGTCATCCAAGGAAACCATAGGCTAATTCTCAAACCAACCACTCACTGATTTATTTATTATTAAATTACAAATATTTAAATTATATATTTATCGAAGTGCGCGTCAGGAATGTACGACTGTTGCGCAGCTTCACGATGTAGACGAAAATTAAACGCAAGTTATTAGGCATCATACGATTAAACAATGTTTATACACGAAACAAATACCTTAACGCGTAAACGACTACTATATTCACAATATCGCCAACTTTACACGATACCACGATTGATATTACGAGTTTAGGAGATGGAACAAATTATTCTATGAGAAAATATTCGTCCTGCCAAATTTAAATTTAATTAAACACTGAGAGTAAAATATGTATAATGGTTTATCTACGAGAAGAGATGAGTACAAGGAGATTAAGAGAAAATGAACAAAGAATCTCTGAAGAATAATTTCGATTTACAGATTGGCCTACAAGCAAAGACTTTTTCTTGGTTTTATTGATTCAATTAAGTTCAGTGTCTCAACATGTTTGATACAGATGAAGGTACTGACCGTAAAAGTGTGTGAATTGTATTATATTTTTTATAGTAAGGTTTATTCTTAGATAAGTTATTATGCTCAAATATTGTAAATGTTTTTTCCTCTATTGTAAGCAAGCTGGTTGAAGCAGCAGGTCGTAATGATTGAACAACTTGTTTTTTCCACTGAGTACTGATGTTAAAGCAAGGAAAAATCAGCGGCGATGTTTCACGGTTTGTTTCTCTAGCAGACACACAAAGTTGTATTTTTCTTTCGTTTTGTATATACGTGTTTAAGTCGGTTCGATTGCGTGCGGCAAGCAGCATTACCAGGTGATGGCGTTTTCATTCTTGGCAGTTTCCGTATGAACAAATTTGTACGATTACTGCGCGCGTGTTTATCATAACGTTAAAGCAAAGTTATTTTAAGCGAAGCGAGGCGAGATTTCTTTAAGGACCGTTTGCCATCGCTGTCAATGCGAATGGCGCCGAGGTCCTTAACGAAATCCTTTTTTTACATTTAAATTTAATGTTTGTAAGGAGCAGCGGACGCAAGTGAGAGGTGGAACAAAAGATGTGTCAAATTTAGCCAATATTAAGACGTATTATTATTCTACATACATTTATGAACATTTAAACGTTGATTTTTACATAGTTCATAAACGCAGACTAGATTAATATGCATTACACGAACGATATACATGAAAACAAAAAAAAACACGTTTTGTCTCTGTAACATCCTCATCTCAATTAAATTACATATAATATATCTAATTAATAAAATAGAGAACATATTATTTATTTATAGAGCTGAAGACGCTATAAAGTAATCGAAATTTGTTTGTTTTATTCTGTGAATTTGAATTCAAGTTGTATGTTTTGAGCGTTGGTGGTTTATTGACCGCGTATTACCTGCGCATGCGTAAAGCGTTGTAGTGCTCTACACAAACCTAAATAATGATTAGTTCCGAAATGGTCCGCGGTTTGTTTTGCTTGTAAAAACCTAGCGGTGAGTGTTGGAACTAAAGTGGTTGGCGTACAAGTGATGTAAGCCCCCACCATTTGATTGGTGCGTGAGTTTCCCGTGGGAGCGCATTCTATACGTGTTATTCGTTGCGCTCGGCTCTCACATCGCGGCTGCAGCCATTTTGTACGTCGACGACGCTTTGTTTACAAATACAAGATTTATCGACGATCATCGCAACGAACATTTGGGTAACTACTTGTAAAAAACTAAGAAAATCGAAAAAGCGTCGAACAACTCTTCGAGTTTATTAGTTGAATCTTATAATTTGTAATCGTACATAAACCAAATTCCAATCAACGGACGAGAGAGCCGTCAGCGATCGTAGCGTTAGGCAGTTCGCAGTGACTGAGCGTCCATTACAAAAACGCAAGTTCCCATCTAAAAAAAAAGCAACAACCCTGCCTGTGCCTGCCTGTTTTGTTTCGTTTCCGAGATCGCAGCGTATCTACGCGTCGTATCAAAACCAAAAAGCCAAAAATCACGCACGCTCCGCAACGCAATCTACCCAAAAATTCTTAGTCTTCGTGCGCCGTGACAGTGCAAAGTATTGATTTAGTTAAGTATCCCAGAAACATTCGCATATCGTACACACTACATATATTCACCCAACCTAACTTAGAGTCAAAGCAAAATAGCAATGCCGCCAGCATTCTTCTTCCTCTTTGATTGGAGTTCATTTCACACACAACATCGCGACAGCGTTGTAATTGTTTGCTTGCTACCGAACCGCTGACCTGTGCCAGCCGCCGAGAAAAAGCAAACAACTACCACACCACTCTTATGTTCGACTGCTACTAGATTAATGTGTACCCACCAGGCTTGCATATCATTCTACGTTCCACAGAGAAACGACGACACGGCTGCGCGACGTCACAGGCTGAACGAAACAAGCAAACGAAAAGGCAGAGCACAATGGGCGAACGCGACGACAAGGGTACGCGCGTGTATGTGGGCGGCCTCACCGAAGGCATCAAGAAGGAGGACCTCGAGAATGAGTTTGAGAAATTTGGCAAGCTGAACTCGGTGTGGGTGGCATTCAACCCGCCCGGCTTCGCTTTCATCGAGTTCACAAGCCACGGCGATGCCGAGACGGCCTGCGACAACTTGAACGGCTCCGACTTCCTCGGCTCAAAGTTGCGAGTTGAGATCGCACGGGGCACCGGACGGCGAGGCGGATTCCGTGGCGGCCGCGGTGGTCCCCCACGTAGAGGCCCGCCTAGCGGTGGTGGTGCTGGTGGCGGCAAGCCGGGTGGCTTCCGCGCATATGGCGATCGCAGTAATGGCTTCCGAGGAAGCCCGCGTGGTGCCGGCCGGCCGCCGATGGGCAGTCGAGGTGGCCGTTTCGATGAGTACCCACGCGAAGAGCGGTATGGCTCACGCGAGTACAGCCGCAACGGCAGCGACGGGTTTAGGCGAGGTGCGCGTGAGAGTTTCTCGCGTGGTCGTGGCGGTAGCGGCGGTGGTGGTGCCGGGGGTGGCCGACATCGATTCGACAGCAACTCGCGATTCAGGTCGCGGTCGCCGGTCGGTGCGCCGCGCCGTTGATTGGAGGCCAGCGAGCGACAACGCGTCCTCAGAGTGATCTGTTTTTCTTAATGTTCGCCCTTTATTTTATGTATTCATTCATTTTATTTCGCTGCCTGCGATGTATAGGGCACAGCGGAACATGTATACAGCGTTCGATTTGCAATTTTGCGAGTTTTGAGAGTTCAGAAAACTATTTAAGTACAATACTCATATATGAATGTAAAGTATTACGACATTTATTTATTATGACGGTAACAAATACTTCGATTAATACAAATAGTGTAATAAAACTTTAGTTTAATTCAAAATTGGTGCATCATTCAAACTATCACACAAGGTAACATCTTTTGTTTTTACTTGTTTTGTACTCATTGGTTTAGTGTTTATTTGGTTGCCTATCTCAAATGGCGGTCTAGTAGGTACCACGTGCCGCTTTTATTTCCACATTCTGTAGTCGTGCGGTAACCTACAAGAGCGGTTGTTTAATTTCATCTGTAGCAATCTCGTCAGATTATTACAATATGGGAGATCAACTCCAACAATACTCAATTCAGGCGGATAATGACGTGAGTAACAATTACTCTAATGAATTCAATTTTTAATCTTTATTTTGTGTGTTGTAGGCTCATGAAGTTGGTAAACTTATGGCACAAATAAATGAATTGCAGGCAGCAATTGCCAGTAATTCTGCAGGTCCTCTAGAAAATGAAGATGTACAAAAGCTTGCGGTTGAAAATATCAAACTTAAACATAGACTTTCTATTCTAGACAATGTAAGTTTGTTTTTGTTTGTTTTGTTTGTTTTGTTATCATATTTCTGGTTAAACTTATCTTGTTTAGGCATATGCGTCACAATGTAAGCATATGAAACAATCATCTGGCATTGAATCAATCCAAGAAGTCCTCCAAGGAATCTTTTCCACAGCCATCAAAGCTGCCATTACTGACATCAAAGATGCACCTGTTGTGATTGCACTCTCTGGCAAAGATCCCAAGTTTGGTGACTACCAATGTAATTCAGCTCTTCCCATTGCCAACATTTATAAACAACTAGGCAAAAAGGTTTCTCCACAGCAGATTGGGAAGAATATTGTTGAACATGTTCCTCCTCACAATCTAATTGCTAAGTTAGAAGTAGCAGGTCCGGGTTTCATTAACATTCATCTCAGTAAATCCTATGGAGTGCATGCTCTTTCTAATATCCTTGAAAATGGCGTCCTCCCTCCACCATTAGAGAAACCTCTGAGGGTAGTGGTCGATTTTTCAAGTCCTAACATTGCCAAGGAGATGCATGTCGGTCATTTGCGTTCAACTATCATCGGCGAGAGCGTCAGTAGGATGCTAGAGTTTTTGGGTCATGATGTCGTCCGAACAAATCACATTGGTGATTGGGGTACACAATTTGGCATGTTGATTGAGCATTTGAAAGAGAAATTCCCCGATTATGCAACTGTTTCACCACCAATTAGTGACCTGCAAGCATTCTACAAGGAATCCAAGGCTAGGTTTGATGATGATCCTGAGTTTAAGAAAAAAGCGTACGCTGCTGTTGTAAAATTACAAGCACACGAACCTGAACATTACAAAGCATGGCAGTTGATTTGTGATGTTTCAAGGAAAGGTAAAATTTGCCTATAAACTTTTATTAGGTGTTTATTTAATTTTATGTTGTCATAGAGTTCCAAAAAGTGTACGATCGTTTGGACATTACCATCATCGAACGTGGAGAATCATTCTACCAGTCTCGAATGAACGACGTCGTGAAATTCCTCGATGAGCGCAACTTTTTGGAAGAAGACGAAGGCCGTAAGATCATGTGGGGTGATAAGAAGGCTGTTCCTCTTACCATCGTCAAATCTGACGGTGGATACACCTACGACACTTCCGATATGGCTGCTATAAAGTATCGCATCCAGGAGGTGAATGCTGATTGGATTGTCTACATTACAGATGCTGGACAACTCAGTCACTTCGAAATTTTATGGAACTGCGCTCGGAAAGCCGGCATTCTCACCGATAAAGTCCGCGTGGATCATTGTAACTTTGGCGTGGTGCTTGGCGAAGACAAAAAGAAGTTCAAGACGCGTTCGGGCGATACCGTTCGCCTGGTTGATTTGTTAGATGAAGGTTTAAAACGTGCGCTTGATAAACTCAAAGAGAAGGAGCGTGATAAGGTACTTACACCAGAGGAACTCAAAAAAGCGCAAGAGTCGATTGCGTACGGCTGTATTCGTTATGCGGATTTGTGTAACAATCGTAATCATGAGTATGTTTTCTCGTTTGACAAAATGTTACAAGATAAGGGTAACACTGCTGTGTATTTGATCTATGCTTACACGCGAATTTGTTCGATTGCACGAAATGCTGGACTCAGTCCGGATGATATTAAGAACTTGGCGAAGAAAACGCAAGTATCTTTAGATCATGACAAAGAATGGAAATTGGCTAAGGTATTATTGCGTTATCCAGATGTCTTGCTCAAAATTACACAGGATTTGTGTCTGCACCACTTGTGTGAATATGTTTATGAAATCTGCACCACGTTCACCGAGTTCTATGACAGTTGTTACTGCATTGAGAAGGATAATGCAGGGAATATTGTTAAAGTTAATGAAGGAAGAATATTGCTTGTTGAAGTCGCTGCTCTTGTTATGGCGAAATGTTTTCATATTTTGGGTTTAAATCCGGTATCTAAAATGTAATAATTTAAAAACAGGGCATATAAATGTTTCTGTTTTTAATAAATTAATACTAAATTTATATTTGTGATTCTATTCACTTGTTTCTTCTGCTTGATCATTTTTTAAAATTTCTAAGCAATTGTAATTAAGGTGATAGGCCAAACAAAGTAAGCAAACTCAGTTATTTTAAATCTAAATCATTCTTGCAACGTACCGAATTGTTCTTCTATTCAGTAGTATGGCTGAATTGTGATGTTTAAAATAGTTTGAAGTTGCGCGTGTGTAAGTGCATTGTCGCTGCTGTCGTTACTTTCCACGCATACTTAAGGCTACACCTACACGGGATGCCGACTCCAGTCTAGCCGCGGCGGTCGTGTGCGTTGCGCGCGTTTATCGGACTTCGTCCGTGATTTCGCCCGTTATCCTGTGTTCATCCCCACGTGAGCGACAAAACCCCGTCTGTGTCGATCAATTAATATGAAGGTAAAGAATTCTTTAACTTATTCATGATCTAAGTTATAAAATATTCATAACTTGTTGCTATGTTGTTGCTTGTTACGTTCGCGGAGCGCAGACAGATTTATAGAATTGTTGTATGTATTGTTTGGAGTGGAGACACTCTGGTTTTGGTTATCGGTGTTTTGTGAGTACATTCAGGTCATCTTGAATCTTACGGTGTTGCTTTGATATTTAGAGTCTTGTTTTACATTGAATATATGTAGTTCGAAGAGTTCAAATCTGTCTTAAACCGCCTCTAAATCTGAATTTTCATCACACATGAAATGCCTTAAAACCGCCCCAGAAAGTAGGTAATTTTTAACATTTTCTAAAACTTGTCGTGGAAATTGCTCAATATCTCGGGCAACGTATGCACCAATACAATGCGGTTTACATCTTTAGAAAGCACGATTGTTTTCTACGTAATAGAGAAAACCGCCCTCAAAATTCGGTAATTTTTAACATTCTCAAAAACTTGCCGTGAAAATTGCACTATATCTCGTGAACCATGTGCGCCATTGCAATGCAGTTTGCATTTTTAGATACCGCGATAGTTTTTCTACGCCGTGGGCCCCCGCCGTCCTTTGAAATCACACGCAAAGTACCTGAAAACCGCCCCTAAAAGTTGATCATTTTTAACATTTTCTTAAACTTGCCGTGGAAATTGCCCAATATCTCGGGAACCTTGTGCACCATTGCAATGCAGTTGGCATTTTCGGATACGGCGATAGTTTTTCTACGCAATAGACCCCCGCCGCCCCCGGAAATCACACGCGAACTGTTTAAAAACCGCCCCTAAAAGTCGTTCACTTTTTAACATTTTCGTAAACTTGCCGTGGAAATTGCTCAATGTCTCGAGAACCTTGTGCGCCATTGCCATGCAGCTTGCGAATTTAAATGGCGAGTTAGTTTTTCTACCTAATAGAAAACCTACAGAAAACTTGCGAGAATGTAATTTTTGTGCTTTGTTGTGCTAATTTTCGGTTGTTTTAGGTGTCTAGCAGGCGAACGGAATGCCCTAGGACAACGATTCTTTTGTCTGATAGTAAGTATTGAACTTGTCTATCATTTTCATAAATAATTTGTGTGATTAGCACACAGGAAACCTGTGAAAATGTCATTTTTGTGCTTCGATATACTAATTTTTGGTTGTTTTAGGTGTCTAGCGGGCGAACGGAATGTCCTAGGACAACGATTCATTCATCAGATTGTAAGTATTGAAATTGTTTATCATTTTCATAAATAATTTGTGTTATTAGCACACAGCAAACCTGTGAAAATGTCATTGTTGTGCTTCGATATACTAATTTTTGGTTGTTTTAGGTGTCTAGCGGGCGAACGGAATGTCCTAGGACAACAATTCTTTCATCAGATTGTAAGTATTGAAATTGTTTATCATTTTCATAAATAATTTGTGTAATTAGCACACAGCAAATCTGTGAAAATGTCATTTTTTGCTTCGATATGCTAATTTTCGGTTGTTTTAGGTGTCTAGCGGGCGAACGGAATGTCCTAGGACAACGATTCTTTTGTCTGATAGTAAGTATTGAACTTGTCTATCATTTTCATAAATAATTTGTGTGATTAGCACACAGGAAACCTGTGAAAATGTCATTTTTGTGCTTCGATATACTAATTTTTGGTTGTTTTAGGTGTCTAGCGGGCGAACGGAATGTCCTAGGACAACGATTCTTTCATCAGATTATAAGTATTGAATTTGTTTATCATTTTCATAAATAATTTGTGTGATTAGCACACAGGAAACCTGGGAAAATGTCATTTTTGTGCTTCGATATACTAATTTTTGGTTGTTTTAGATGTCTAGCGGGCGAACGGAATGTCCTAGGACAACGATTCTTTTGTCTGATAGTAAGTATTGAACTTGTCTATCATTTTCATAAATAATTTGTGTAATTAGCACACAGCAAATTTGTGAAAATGTCATTTTTGTGCTTCGGTATGCTAATTTTCGGTTGTTTTATGTGTCTAGCGTTCGAACGGAATGTCCTAGGACAACGATTCTTTCATCAGATTATAAGTATTGAATTTGTTTATCATTTTCATAAATAATTTGTGTGATTAGCATACAGGAAACCTGTGAAAATGTCATTTTTGTGATTTGATATGCTAATTTTCGGTTGTTTTAGGTGTCTAGCAGGCAAACGGAATGTCCTAGGACAACGATTCTTTCATCAGATTGTAAGTATTGAAATTGTTTATCATTTTCATAAATAATTTGTGTGATTAGCACACAGCAAACCTGTGAAAATGTCATTTTTGTGCTTCGATATACTAATTTTTGGTTGTTTTAGGTGTCTAGCGGGCGAACGGAATGTCCTAGGACAACGATTCTTTCATCAGATTGTAAGTATTGAATTTGTTTATCATTTTCATAAATAATTTGTTTGATTAGCACACTGAAAATCTGTGAAAATGTCATTTTTGTGCTTCGATATACTAATTTTTGGTTGTTTTAGGTGTCTAGCGGGCGAACGGAATGTCCTAGGACAACGATTCTTTCATCAGATTGTAAGTATTGAAATTGTTTATCATTTTCATAAATAATTTGTGTGATTAGCACACAGGAAACCTGTGAAAATGTCATTTTTGTGCTTCGATATGCTAATTTTTGGTTGTTTTAGGTGTCTAGCGGGCGAACGGAATGTCCTAGGACAACGATTCTTTCATCAGATTGTAAGTATTGAATTTGTTTATCATTTTCATAAATAATTTGTTTGATTAGCACACTGAAAATCTGTGAAAATGTCATTTTTGTGCTTCGATATACTAATTTTTGGTTGTTTTAGGTGTCTAGCGGGCGAACGGAATGTCCTAGGACAACAATTCTTTCATCAGATTGTAAGTATTGAAATTGTTTATCATTTTCATAAATAATTTGTGTGATTAGCACACAGGAAACCTGTGAAAATGTCATTTTTGTGCTTCGATATGCTAATTTTCGGTTGTTTTAGGTGTCTAGCGGGCGGACGAAATGTTTAAAACAACGGTCCTATTACGATATTGTAAGTATTGAAATTGTTTCTTATTTTTGTAAATAATTTTCGTGTTACATACATTAAAATGTAAATTAAATTTGTACACACAATTAAATATTAACACACACATTACAGATTTCGTAGTAATTTATTTCAAGTTGGTGGTCCCAAAACTAGATGGTGCCACTATCAGGCTATCTAATATATTTTGTTCCGTCTCACCCAGATGGCGCTCGTGTCAGTTATCTATTTTGTTTTGTTCCGCCACGGCCAGATGGCGCTTTTATCGATTTGGTTTGAAATCTTACTTCATGTTTGTTTAGTTTTGGGGCACAAAGTTGCAGTGCGCACGTCACTTTTATACATAACGTTTAAGTTTAACAAAACGAGAAATAACTTTGCTTTAGGTGCTTTAGGTGTCTTGCGGGCGAACGCGATGTCGTAGAACCACCATTCTTTCATAAGTATTCAAATTGTATACCATTGTTATATACATTATTTGTGTTTAATACTAGCGGAATCCACAAATGTCGTATTTTTCCACAGTACGTTAACTAAAATCATTTCCTCCAAATAATGTTGTTTGTAAACTGATAACTTTATTTTATAACTTGCAATATATTTGTAATAGCATTTTTATCGTGCGCAGGTAGAAGAATGCCCCTCCAACTGCGGATCGGTTATCAATTCTCTTACCCGCTTAGTCCGACTTAGTCAGTTGAGCGCTGCCTCGTGGTGCGCACGTGTTTTATTCATTAATCAAACAAGGTGACGATTTTACGCGTTTCTTAATATGTTAATTCTGTAGTAATGCTAGAATCGGTTGACCATCAGAGAAATTTAGTAGTAACAGCTCAGTGTAGCTCACAACGAGTGATTTGAGTAATACTTTGCGGTGTGTGCGTGGCGTCCGTCGGATATGTTCCGCCGGTGGCTATGTGTTTGATGTGAGTACAAGTTTTCCATTTGTGATATCCGCGTGGAATAGTAAAGAAGTGCGTATCATCAATTCAACTTACAATTTGCGGAAACGTGTTTGTGCGCTTTAGTACTTTAAGGATAGAAGAACAAAGGAGTAAGTAACATCAAGTAGAATTTTACTTTTATTTAACTCTTTAAATCTTACAGGCACCATATTATTGCTTTATAATAATTGTAAATGATTCAGTCAATAAAGGATAATTTAATTTCACATTCTTGTTTAGATGTGTCCCTACTTAATCGTTTTCAGGATTAGCATTAAGTCATGTTCAACTCTAAGAGTATACCATAGTACGGCATAGTATAGTGCGGTATAGTACATGTATATTGTTGTTCTATTTTACTATAAGATATGAAAACATAAATAGAAGAAACGAATATAGTTTGATGAGAAAGCCGCGTGGCTCTCAGGTGTGCAGCACATGCTGCTATACCTTAGATCGATGGTTCGATCCCCAGTTATAGAAGGCATTTTTCTCAAATATAAAAATAACAGGTGTAATTTGGGTTGCATATATGAATTGCCACGAAATATAAGAGAAGTTGCAATACAAGTGAAGACAATAAGAGAAGTATGAAAGTAAACGGAGAACAGAGAAATAAGAGAAGTAGAAGAAGGAATATCAGAGAGGGTAGAAGACAGAAGGAAGAGAAACAGAGTAGAGAAGAGGAGGAGATAGAAGAAAGAGCGACAGCAGCAGGAGTGGATGAGATTTTTAAATTTTTTGGCACGTGTCGTTATAAGACAGCCACAGGTCGATCTCCCAGAGCGCCTCCGGCGCTCTGGTCGATCGCCCACTGCTTCGATGCGTCCATTGCTCCCGGCCCATCCTACAGCTACGATGTCTCTGCGCTTCATCCCCGAAATTCTCAGGCATATCAACAATTTTTATGGTGGGGGATCACCCCTGGAGAGAGGGATTTCCTTATAAGGACAATCCTTATAAGGTCTTGTTCAAATATTTCTAAGTTTTAAGTCATCTCAAGAGAGGGGACACTTAAAAATATTCTTACAAGTTCTGACCTGTAGCTGAAATGAAAGATGGAGTACACAAATCATACAGGATACCTTAACAATTTTTATAGTGGGGATCATCCCCTGAGAGAGGGAACTCTCCTAGAGACCTGCACCTGAAATGATAGAAGGGGGACATTCAAAGCATAAGACGTAATATTTCTTAACATTTCTTTATTAATAATAAAATACAAGTTTAGATTTTACAAGTCAACAAAATACATGTCGCCATATTGAAACAGGACTTACGACCTGCATAGCCGCGCACTTATAAGCAAGTACCACTTAGTAAAGTTCTACCGGGATAAAGGAATTAGCAAATTGTCAATTTTCTACGTGATTGAAAATGTAAACAGATATACAGGGTGTTGCAAAAGGAAAATTTAAAGTGCACACAAAAAACTCTAAACACGACAAACGTCGCTCGTTTTCACTCAACGATTCGGGAAACTAATATACAGGGTGTTACAAAAAGAAAATTGAAAGGGCAATAGAAAAACCCTAAAAACAACAGTTAAAGCAAAATTTTCACGGACACAAAGAAAACATAAGTATACAGGGTGTTTTAGAAAGAAAATTTCTAGTTGAAACAAAGAACACTCAAAACTCACAAATATCGGCGATTTTGTACGTAGTGTTAAGAAAACTAATATACATTGTGTTACAAAAAGAAATCTTTAGACTCTACAAAGGGAGTTAATATTCACAACAAGAAGATAGAAATTTACAAATAAACAACAATATTTTAAAAGAAAATCCAAGATTTTACCAGAAAATCATCGGGAAATTGAGCAAAAAGATGGTACGAAAATCAAACACTAACATTTTAACATATTGTAAATGTATATTTATTAATTGATGCATCAACTGCATAAAGTAACCGACAGGTACGAGTATCATCATAAATTGATAGAATATCCGGCGGAAACATTTAAATCAGCTGACGGCAAGCGACAGCGCGTAGCAATACAGTTGTTAGAGAGGATAAAAATAACTATTTTTCTGTTGTGAATATTAAGATATACGGAGACTAGGAAAACGAAAAACTATTCAACGTACAAGATTTCACGCGGTCAACAAGAAACTTCTTAATTTAATGATGCTAAAGAATGTAAATCGATTTAAAACATTCACGTGTTCTGCGATAAGATGGCTGAGCCGACGGCCGACGGCAAAGTGAGCGTGGGTCGACCAAATAAATATTGCCAATTTTAATAATCTTCAGATACTTTTTTAAAACAGTGTTTGTAGTAATTAAATCATCCATGATATTTTCGGAAACGGAACTAAGAATTCTGATAAACATGCTATCTACAATGTGTTTGTAATTTGCAAGATGATACATACAAATTTCATATCTGGAGTTACAACACCGCCTAGGTCGCGAACAAACCCGAAAAAAACACATACGTTTCACGGGTTAAAAAATAACACTTATATGCAAATTATCGCGGATTGCAGGTCGAATTCCTGCAACAATTAAATACCACTCGACGGAGAAGTTAATTCCACATCCCTAGACCTAGACGCTGGAGTTCCTACGACGCCAAGATTGTGTGCAAACCCAAAAAAACAAATATTTCACAAAAATAAATTGAAAAATTATTCTTATATGCAAATTTTCGCGTGTTGCAGAACGAATTCATGCAACAATTAAATACCAGCTAACGGAGAATTTAATTCCGCACCTGTAGACGTCACGATGGAGTTTCTACGCCGCCTAGGTCACGAGCAAACCCGAAAAAACACAAACATTTCACGAAAAAGCGTTAAAAAATTAATCTTATATGCAAATTTTCGCGTGTTGCAGAACGAACTCCTGCAACAATTAAATACCACCTAACGGCGAATTTAATTCCGCACCTCTGGACGCCACGATGGAGTTTCTACGCCACCTAGGTCACGAGCAAACCCGAAAAAATACAAACATTTCACGAAAAAGCGTTAAAAAATTAACCTTATATGCAAATTTTCGCGTTTTGCAGGACGAATTCCTGCAACAATTAAATACCTCCTAACGGAGAAATTAATTCCGCATCTCTAGACGCCACGATGGAGTTTCTACGCCACCTAGGTCACGAGCAAACCCGAAAAAACACAAACATTTCACGAAAAAGCTTTAAAAAATTAACCTTATATGCAAATTTTCGCGTGTTGCAGAACGAATTCCTGCAACAATTAAATACGACCTAACGGCGAATTTAATTCCGCACCTCTAGACGCCACGATGGCGTTTCTACGCCGCCTAGGTCACGAGCAAACCCGAAAAAACACAAACATTTCACGAAAAAGCTTTAAAAAATTAATCTTATATGCAAATTTTCGTGTTTTGCAGGACGAATTCCTGCAACAATTAAATACCACCTAACGGAGAATTTTATTCTGCACCTCTAGTCGCGACGATGGAGTTTCTACGCCGCCTAGGTCACGAGCAAACCCGAAAAAACACAAACATTTCACGAAAAAGCGTTAAAAAATTAACCTTATATGCAAATTTTCGCGTGTTGCAGAACGAACTCCTGCAACAATTAAATACCACCTAACGGAGAAATTAATTCCGCATCTCTAGACGCCACGATGAAGTTTCTACGCCGCCTAGGTCACGAGCAAACCCGAAAAAACACAAACATTTCACGAAAAAGCGTTAAAAAATTAACCTTATATGCAAATTTTCGTGTTTTGCAGGACGAATTCCTGCAACAATTAAATACCACCTAACGGAGAATTTTATTCTGCACCTCTAGTCGCGACGATGGAGTTTCTACGCCGCCTAGGTCACGAGCAAACCCGAAAAAACACAAACATTTCACGAAAAAGCTTTAAAAAATTAATCTTGTATGCAAATTTTTGCGTGTTGCAGAATGAATTCCTGCAACAATTAAATACCACCTAACGGAGAATTTTATTCTGCACCTCTAGTCGCGACGATGGAGTTTCTACGCCGCCTAGGTCACGAGCAAACCCGAAAAAACACAAACATTTCACGAAAAAGCGTTAAAAAATTAACCTTATATGCAAATTTTCGCGTTTTGCAGGACGAATTCCTGCAACAATTAAATACCACCTAACGGAGAAATTAATTCCGCATCTCTAGACGCCACGATGAAGTTTCTACGCCGCCTAGGTCACGAGCAAACCCGAAAAAACACAAACATTTCACGAAAAAGCGTTAAAAAATTAACCTTATATGCGAATTTTCGCGTTTTGCAGGACGAATTCCTGCAACAATTAAATACCACCCAACGGAGAATTTAATTCCGCACCTCTAGACGCCACGATGGAGTTCCTACGCCACCTAGGTCACGAGCTAACCCGAAAAAAACACAAACATTTCACGAAAAAGCTTTAAAAAATTAATCTTATATGCAAATTTTCGCGTGTTGCAGAACGAACTCCTGCAACAATTAAATACCACCTAACGGAGAAATTAATTCCGCATCTCTAGACGCCACGATGAAGTTTCTACGCCGCCTAGGTCACGAGCAAACCCGAAAAAACACAAACATTTCACGAAAAAGTTTTAAAAAATTAATCTTATATGCAAATTTTCGTGTTTTGCAGGACGAATTCCTGCAACAATTAAATACCACCTAACGGAGAATTTTATTCCGCATCTCTAGACGCCACGATGAAGTTTCTACGCCGCCTAGGTCACGAGCAAACCCGAAAAAACACAAACATTTCACGAAAAAGCGTTAAAAAATTAACCTTATATGCAAATTTTCGCGTTTTGCAGGACGAATTCCTGCAACAATTAAATACTACCTAACGGAGAAATTAATTCCGCATTTCTAGACGCCACGATGGAGTTTCTACGCCGCCTAGGTCACGAGCAAACCCGAAAAAACACAAACATTTCACGAAAAAGCTTTAAAAAATTAATCTTATATGCAAATTTTCGCGTGTTGCAGAATGAATTCCTGCAACAATTAAATACCACCTAACGGAGAATTTAATTCCGCACCTCTAGACGCCACGATGGAGTTTCTACGCCGCCTAGGTCACGAGCAAACCCGAAAAAACAAACATTTCACGAAAAAGCTTTAAAAAATTAATCTTATATGCAAATTTTCGCGTTTTGCAGGACGAATTCCTGCAACAATTAAATACCACCTAACGGAGAATTTAATTCCGCATCTCTAGACGCCACGATGGAGTTTCTACGCCGCCTAGGTCACGAGCAAACCCGAAAAAACACAAACATTTCACGAAAAAGCTTTAAAAAATTAATCTTATATGCAAATTTTCGCGTGTTGCAGAACGAATTCCTGCAACAATTAAATACCACCTAACGGAGAATTTAATTCCGCACCTCTAGACGCCACGATGGAGTTTCTACGCCGCCTAGGTCACGAGCAAACCCGAAAAAACACAAACATTTCACGAAAAGCTTTAAAAATTAATCTTATATGCAAATTTTCGCGTTTTGCAGGACGAATTCCTGCAACAATTAAATACCACCTAACGGAGAATTTAATTCCGCATCTCTAGACGCCACGATGGAGTTTCTACGCCGCCTAGGTCACGAGCAAACCCGAAAAAACACAAACATTTCACGAAAAAGTTTTAAAAAATTAATCTTATATGCAAATTTTCGCGTGTTGCAGAACGAATTCCAGCAACAATTAAATACCACCTAACAGCTAATTTATTTCCGCACCTCCAGACGCCACGATGGAGTTTCTACGCCGCCTAGGTCACGAGCAAACCCGAAAAAACACAAACATTTCACGAAAAAGCTTTAAAAAATTAATCTTATATGCAAATTTTCGCGTGTTGCAGAATGAATTCCTGCAACAATTAAATACCACCTAACGGAGAATTTAATTCCGCACCTCTAGACGCCACGATGGAGTTTCTACGCCGCCTAGGTCACGAGCAAACCCGAAAAAACACAAACATTTCACGAAAAAGCTTTAAAAAATTAATCTTATATGCAAATTTTCGCGTGTTGCAGAATGAATTCCTGCAACAATTAAATACCACCTAACGGAGAATTTAATTCCGCACCTCTAGACGCCACGATGGAGTTTCTACGCCGCCTAGGTCACGAGCAAACCCGAAAAAACACAAACATTTCACGAAAAGTTTTAAAAATTAATCTTATATGCAAATTTTCGCGTGTTGCAGAACGAATTCCTGCAACAATTAAATACCACCTAACGGAGAATTTAATTCCGCACCTCTAGACGCCACGATGGAGTTTCTACGCCGCCTAGGTCACAAGCAAACCCGAAGAAACACAAACATTTCACGAAAAAGCTTTAAAAAATTAATTTTATATGCAAATTTTCGCATGTTGCAGAACGAATTCCTGCAACAATTAAATACCACCTAACGGTGAATTTAATTCCGCACCTCTAGACGCCACGATGGAGTTTCTACGCCGCCTAGGTCACGAGCAAACCCGGAAAAACACAAACATTTCACGAAAATGCGTTAAAAAATTAACCTTATATGCAAATTTTCGCGCGTTGCAGAACGAATTCCTGCAACAATTAAATACTACCTAACGGAGAATTTAATTCCGCACCTCTAGACGCCACGATGAAGTTGCTACGCCGCCTAGGTCACGAGCAAACCCGAAAAAACCCAAACATTTCACGAAAAAGCGTTAAAAAATTAATCTTATATGTAAATTTTCGAGTGTTGCGTGTGGAATTCCTTCAACAAGTAAATACCACCCAATAAAGAATTTAATTCCGCATCTCTAAACCCCACGCTGGAGTTACTACGTCGCCTAGGTCGCGAGCAAACCCAAAAAAACACAATCATTTCACAAAAAAGGGTTAAAAAATTACTCTTATATGCAAATATTCGAGGGTTGCGGGTCGAATTCCTGCAACAGTTAAATACCACCCGACGGAGAATTTAATGAAAATGCAAATTTAGAATGCAGAAGTCCGAACAAACTATACGAATCGCGCAAAACACGTCTAAACCTACCAGCGAACGGTACGAAACTGGCTGCAAACAAATTGATAGCGCAAGCCGTAGCCGAGCAAACAACGACGCGACAATTAACAATAAAAAAGTAAGGGATGCGCAAATCTAGTGCGTCGATGGCACGCGACCTTGTGCGCGAATGGCAATAGGCACAATACAAGTGATGTAAACTAAACTAGAATATGCTGCACGCGGCGTGAGGAGATTGCAACGACAACACTCGTGAATCTCTTGCAATGCATTCCACGCGGCGAAAGCGATAAGAAAGTAAATTGTGTAGATTATTAAAATTATTGGAAGATTTTCCAAAAAATCTGGGAAAAACACGTAAAATCTCTCCTCTTTGCACTTTTAGCGATTATTTTTGAACTTAATATATTTTATTATCTTGTTCTATAAAAAAATTATAGAATAAGTTATATAAAAAGCTATAAAATAGTTTTATAATCCACGAAAGTAGCGGTACAAAAGTAGTGGTAGAAGTGACTCCCATTCTCTATTAGCTAAGCTGGTTAAATTGGAAATCTAAGAGATGAAATAATTCATAAGGACAAATGGGAACTAAAAGCGCTAGCAGAAAAGAACGTGCAAATAGTATGCATGCAGCATGCAGCGCGAGCTCACACGTACACGAGTGCCACAAACAGACACATGCACCTGCTTAATATTATTCAATTTTGTGCATCCTAGCGCAATCTACGTTCTATTCGGAGAGTTTTAGATAAAATGCGTGTTGTGTAAGGTCTCAGACGGTCACTAGTTTTAAATCTACAATAATATTTGATTTTAGGAATAATTTGAATAAATACCAAACCAATTTACTTTCCGCGCTTAATATTCGTCATTATATTGCACTGTATTCAATTAAATATTATTCAAAATAAAAATATACAGCTTGTAGGTGAATAAATTTGACTGCGACCGAAAATTCATTCGAATGTGATAATCAGGAATGATAAACAGTATTCGATAATGCAACATATTTAATTTCAAGAAAGGAACAATCTGCGGTCCGTCGGCAAGTATTCCTTAGTCACGTGCCGGCGAATGTACTACTAAATACGAATCCAGCGGTAATAATATATTAAAATGTTGATTACCTGTGATAATACTCCGATTAGTAAAATTATTCAAGCGGTTCTATCTTCTGCGGATGACGAATATAATTTGCATAAATTGGTGAACACAAAACACCCACGAAACAATAAATCTTTGCACTGAACACCGAATATAACATGCGCGATTCACGGAATCAAGAGAATGAACCGCACGCCAGTCGACCGGCGATAAGACTGGAATGCGCGTAATGTAAACACTGCGAGCGGCGTAGAATAGCAACAACAACACCATCCGTCTGACGATTGCACTATAGAAGATACTGCACTAGCTGAAAATAACAAATAAATCAACCGTGTTCAGTGTTGTAATAGAATAAATGGCACAATTAAATGCAACTAAATTAAATTATAGATCCACTAATCGCAATTTTATAATTTTAATAATCCTGTTTCGCTTTTTAATGAAAAAGAACGCAATGATGCAATGCTATTCTTAGTTCTTATTTGAATATTCTATTCATGAATAAACTTACATTAGAATTTAAAACTGCAATAGATTCGATTTTTGTATGTAAACAAGTATATCTCTTGCGCGAAATCGCGTGATCGCACACCGACACGATGCGTACACACTATCACAAACAAATCATATTTAATGCAAATAAATGCATCCTGGTGCCACCTCTGCCCGAATTATTGACCTATATTTAAATATGCAGTTTAATATGAATGCGATCATTATATTCAACCAAAGAATATTTGTCGCGTAAAATTAAATAATAAATTAATGAAAAATTAAAATTCGATTTGCGTAATTATGATTTCTTATGCGGACAGAGTAATCTGGCACTCTTACATCAAATATTTAAGTGATATCTGCTGATGATGATTTTTATAATAAACTATTACACCTAATATAAAATTGTTAGTTATATTCATGATTTGAGAATTGAAGAATAGTTGCTTAAATTCAACGATGTGATATCTGCAGGTAAACAAACTTATCTCTTGTACGAAATCGCGTGGTCGCACACGGGCACGGTGTGCACTCACTACCACCGACAAGCAATATTTAATGCAAAAACGTGCATCGTAGTGCCATCTAACCGACAATTAAGCCCAAAGGGACCTCCTAAGAATGGGAAACAACATGGCAACAATATGTATCTGATTGACCAAGCGACCGACAACGTCCCACAATAACCGATAAAAGCAGCATTCTTGTAATTTGAAATATAAACATCAAAAACGAGCAAAAAAATAATATAGTTAAATTGGAAATCTGAGAGATAAAATTTTAATTCTTAAGAAAAATTGCCAAGGGGGGGTGCTTGATACTTTTTTTCGACGATTTTCAAAAATTAATATCTCTTAAACTAAAAGAGATAGCTACCAACGAATCGTTGATTATGAAAGATTGGAAAATTCTCTATCAGATAAAACCAATAAAATAATTACATTTCCTACAGTAAAAGGTCGAAAAACGCGACTGAAAGTGCTAAAAAGTGACATTTTGCCATTTTTGGACATTTTATTCAATCGCGAATATCTCGTAAACTAAAAGAGATAAATAAGATCTGATCGCAGCGTCTTAATCTACGGACCAATCTCTATCAGATAGGATAGTTAAAAGGGAAATTTGAGAGAAGAAATTTTAAGTCTTAAGAAAAAAATTGCCAAGGGGGGGTACTTGATACTTTTTTTCGACGATTTTCAAAAATTAATATCTCTTAAACTAAAAGAGATAGCTACCAACGAATTGTTGATTATGAAAGATTGGAAAATTCTCAATCAGATAAAAATATAAAATAATTATATTTCCTACAGTAAAAGGTCGAAAAACGCGACTAAAAGTGCTAAAAAGTGACATTTTGCAATTTTGCCCATTTTATTCAATCGCGAATATCTCGTAAACTAAAAGAGATAAATAAGATCTGATCGCAGCGTCTTAATCTACGGACCAATCTCTATCAGATAGGATAGTTAAAAGGGAAATTTGAGAGAAGAAATTTTAAGTCTTAAGAAAAAAATTGCCAAGGGGGGGTGCTTGATACTTTAAATAAGATCTGATCGCAGCGTCTTAATCTACGGACTATTTTCTATCAGATAGGATAGTTAAAAGGGAAATATGAGAGACAAAATTTTAAGTCTTAAGAAAAAAATTGCCAAGGGGGGTGCTTGATACTTTTTTTCGACGATTTTCAAAAATTAATATCTCTTAAACTAAAAGAGATAGCTACCAACGAATTGTTGATTATGAAAGATTGGAAAATTCTCAATCAGATAAAAATATAAAATAATTATATTTCCTACAGTAAAAGGTCGAAAAACGCGACTAAAAGTGCTAAAAAGTGACATTTTGCAATTTTGCCCATTTTATTCAATCGCGAATATCTCGTAAACTAAAAGAGATAAATAAGATCTGATCGCAGCGTCTTAATCTACTGACTTTTCTCTATCAGATAGAATAGTTAAAAGGGAAATTTGAGAGAAGAAATTTTAAGTCTTAAGAAAAAAATTGCCAAGGGGGTGCTTGATACTTTTTTTCGACGATTTTCAATAATTAATATCTCTTAAACTAAAAGAAATAGCTACCAACGAGTTGTCGATTATGAAAGATTGGAAAATTCTCTATCAGATAAAAATATAAAATAATTATATTTCCTACAGTAAAAGGTCGAAAAACGCGACTAAATGTGCTAAAAAGTGACATTTTGCAATTTTGCCCATTTTATTCAATCGCGAATATCTCGTAAACTAAAAGAGATAAATAAGATCTGATCGCAGCGTCTTAATCTACGGACTTTTCTCTATCAGATAGAATAGTTAAAAGGGAAATTTGAGAGATGAAATTTTAAGTCTTAAGAAAAAATTGCCAAGGGGGTGCTTGATACTTTTTTTCGACGATTTTCAAAAATTAATATCTCTTAAACTAAAAGAGATAGCTACCAACGAATTGTTGATTATGAAAGATTGGAAAATTCTCAATCAGATAAAAATATAAAATAATTATATTTCCTACAGTAAAAGGTCGAAAAACGCGACTAAAAGTGCTAAAAAGTGACATTTTGCAATTTTTGCCCATTTTATTCAATCGCGAATATCTCGTAAACTAAAAGAGATAAATAAGATCTGATCGCAGCGTCTTAATCTACTGACTTTTCTCTATCAGATAGGATAGTTAAAAGGAAATCTGAGAGAAAAAATTTTAAGTCTTAAGAAAAAAATTGCCAAGGGGGGGTACTTGATACTTTTTTTCGACGATTTTCAAAAATTAATATCTCTTAAACTAAAAGAGATAGCTATCAACGAATTGTTGATTATGAAAGATTGGAAAATTCTCAATCAGATAAAAATATAAAATAATCATATTTCCTATAGTAAAAGGTGGAAAAACGCGACTAAAAGTGCTAAAAAGTGACATTTTGCAATTTTTGCCCATTTTATTCAATCGCGAATATCTCGTAAACTAAAAGAGATAAATAAGATCTGATCGCAGCGTCTTAATGTACTGACTTTTCTCTATCAGATAGAATAGTTAAAAGGGAAATTTGAGAGAAGAAATTTTAAGTCTTAAGAAAAAAATTGCCAAGGGGGGGTACTTGATACTTTTTTTCGACGATTTTCAAAAATTAATATCTCTTAAACTAAAAGAGATAGCTACCAACGAATTGTTGATTATGAAAGATTGGAAAATTCTCAATCAGATAAAAATATAAAATAATTATATTTCCTACAGTAAAAGGTCGAAAAACGCGACTAAAAGTGCTAAAAAGTGACATTTTGCAATTTTGCCCATTTTATTCAATCGCGAATATCTCGTAAACTAAAAGAGATAAATAAGATCTGATCGCAGCGTCTTAATGTACTGACTTTTCTCTATCAGATAGAATAGTTAAAAGGGAAATTTGAGAGAAGAAATTTTAAGTCTTAAGAAAAAAATTGCCAAGGGGGGGTGCTTGATACTTTTTTTCGACGATTTTCAAAAATTAATATCTCTTAAACTAAAAGAGATAGCTACCAACGAATTGTTGATTATGAAAGATTGGAAAATTCTCTATCAGATAAAAATATAAAATAATTATATTTCCTACAGTAAAAGGTCGAAAAACGCGACTAAAAGTGCTAAAAAGTGACATTTTGCAATTTTTGCCCATTTTATTCAATCGCGAATATCTCGTAAACTAAAAGAGATAAATAAGATCTGATCGCAGCGTCTTAATCTACGGACAATTCTCTATAAAATAAACTAGCTAAACCCCTCTTGCGCTATTCGAATCCGATAAAAAGTTTGATCATTTTACAAAGGTTTTCCGCAATATGATCCGTTTTCCATATTACCGTTATGTGAAATTTATACGACCCCCCTAATTCGTGGGCTATTGCAAGACGCAGGTGAAATGTGATAAAACATTTAACCGAATAATATAACTTGATTATAAACTTACCAATGTAGCGCTCTCGGGTTGCAAGAATACGGCAAGTAGGTACTGTAATTAAAAGAAAACATAAGTTAAAACAAAAACATTTCATACAATATGATAATATTATATTCACACATGGAAGAAAACAAACTTTCTGTGCTGAGTATCGCAATGGTCAGATAAAAGTAACTTACTCAAGCACGAATAGGTTTCCGATTGATCTAGCGATCGACCACGTCCCACAATAACCGACAATAAAACCGCAGCATTGTAATTTGAAATATAAACATCAAAGGCAAGCAAAAAAAAACATTTACGCAAATTAAACGCACAATTACTTATTAGGAAAACACTGCGGATGCATATTACGACTAAGTCGATTGATGACCGAATATAATGCAAACTTTGAAAATAGAAGTCTGATAAAACGAAACGCGTTGCGTGATACAGGTCTGGATACGGCAGAGACCGGCACGAAACTAGCTGCAATCCGTCGATAGCGCTAGCCGAAACCGCGCAAGCAGCGATGCGACAGTTCCCAATAAGACTACCCGCTGCGTGACCTCGCAGGTAAAAGCAATAGATGCGCAAAGCCGGTGCGTCGATTTCACGCGACCTTGTACGCGAATTGCAATATATGCGCAAAGCCGGCGGCGCGTCGATGCCACGCGACTTTGTGCACGAATTGCAATAGACACGAAACCTGCGATCCGAACTAAACTAGAATATGCATGCGGCGTGCGGGGATTGCAACGACAACACTTGGGAATCTAACGTGCTGCATTCCGCGCGGCGAATGTGATAAGAAAGTGTAAATTGTGTTCAAAACAAATACAATTCTCGTGCCGAATGCGTTTGCTGATAAATATAGAAATAAACTATACTATTTTATGATTTTTAGTTCATGCTAGTGCCATCTCTGATTGATACAGATACAAGTCCCGGAATTTAGATTAATAAAATTAATAAAGCAATAAAATTTAAATCTTATGCTAAAAGATTGACCTATTTTAAATCAAATATTTAAGTGATATTTAATTCGAAATTTGGTTTATCTTTGAGCAATGAATAATTTCAACAATTTATTTCAATTTTCCATAAAAACCGTAAACATTAAAAATTAATAAACTAATATAACTTATAAATTTTCAAATTTAAGTTTTTTGCTGGGCAGTATTTTCACATTTGAATTGAGGTGGCACTTACGTGATGAAACTCCATTGTAATCGTCGATAGAAAGGATAAACCTTACGGGTTTCACTGAAACTTTTACTACTCTGCGACATGTTGAATATGAGATGAATATTCATGCACAAGTCGCAAGTTAATTGCAATATTATTTACAATCACACAAAGCCGGCTGGCCGGCGTCCGACGGCAACACGCAAAAATGTAATAAACACACAAAATATTGAATTACGAAGATACACCCGCGAAAAATATTTAGCGAATGACCAAACACGACAATTAACACTAAATTCAATCAAATATAACGGGATATATCGAATTGACAACGATAAACACGAATACCCGACGGAGTATTATTACTTGCCACACGAAGTAACAGATGCATGCCGGCATCACAACTGTGCACGTCGACTTTCACCCGCAGGAATATTTTAAGTTACAACATGCATCGTTGCGCTATCTGAGAATACTTTATTGCACCTCAAGAAAATACAAAGTGCTTCAAAAAGTTTAGCGTGCATATGAGGCAGTGAGCGATTACCTAGGTGTCAGTGAGTGGTCACGCACTTAAATGGCTGTGTCCGTGTATCACACGTACACGAAAGTGCGCATGCACCACCCTATCTAAACAAATAGCAATGTTTATACATAACTCCAAACTTGAATTATAGACGTCGCTAGGATGGACTTATTCAAAATAAATGAATAAAATTTTGCAATTTGAATGCAAACATTGAACAATTTAGCAATAAATAAATATTATATACTGTATAAATAATCATTTGAAGTATGTATATGTAATAAAATCACATATTTTCTTCTAAAATTGCACCAAATCATTTCAAAAACTACGAAAATAGCAAAGAAAACCTAAATTTTACTTTTTTTGTAATTTACTCTTCAGAATAAATAACTATATCAGTTCAGTCAATGAAAATTGTCTAAATATTCATTATTTTTATATTTTTATTTGTCGGAAACTACCTCAGTAAAAATCGCACAATTTTCGGAACCAAGCTGTCAAAGTCCAACTGTTACAAAAAAGAAACTGTTACTGACGATGCCCTCAAAGTAAAACATGTTTAACGCAAATAAATCATAATTCAACGACATAAAATTTAAATAAATATAAAATGAAAATATATTGCAGCTACAAAACTTTTAAAAAATACATTCAGCGCCATCTAGCGGGGGATGCAATCATGACTGTAGAAAAAGTAGCATCAAGTTTAACCTACTAGCGCCATCTAGCGGCGAAGGAAAAAATTACAAACATTTAGTAGAAAACTGTAATTTCGTACAGCATTTTTCCCGAAACTGTTATTTTTCTGTTGCGCATTCGGATTGACGAGCGCCAGAAAGTTAATTCAACAACAATTTATATTGTATGTAAAACAGAAAATAAGATTTATGAAAAAAAAAACATAATTACCTTATTTTCGATGCGTGTTGTGACCATTCCAGTACAAGTCATTGAACTCGTTTAGCCCTAAAACAAATCAGACATAAATTTAAAAAAAAAAAACATTCAAATTACTTGAATTAATATTCAAATAAGGTTTTCTGATATTCAGATAATCTTTTGACGGCTTCGTCATATTTAAATAAAGCGATAAAGCAATAAATTTGGCTTACCGAGGTAAAATAATATTACATCTTCAAAATTGGTGAAGGTAAAGTTCAAAATGGCTGTGCATAATGTTCGTTTCGTTAAATCGTAACAATAATATCTAATCAGAGGTAGTAAATATATAAAACTGATAAATCACAGTACACAACTTTAGTTTAACGGAAAACTAAGTACAAGCGGCGATTATTTTATCGTAAAACGCGAAGTTATGAATAAAACCACAACCGACGCAACTTTAACGACCGACGAATTCATACAGTTGTGCAAAAACGGCGTCAACGCCAAACAGCCAACCGCGAGCTGGTTGCGTGCGCAGAAAAAATAGCGCATGCGCATTTTATTCTCAAAATGTAAGAGCGCGAAAATCATTCAAACGCAGTCAGAATCTAAGGTTAAGCTTCATTTTAACATTAGTTTGTGCAGCGTTTGTTCTTTTTTGTTCCAAACACCTAAAACAACTCAAATTGTTACGTTTTAAACATATTCCAGCTTCAAATAAGGAAATTCTTCATTATTCAACATGAATAAACGCAAACCGGACACACCCAAGAGTCCAAACAAGAAATTGAAGTATGTATCCATAGCAACCTCTTATCTAAAAATAATTATTAATTATTATAGAGCTGACATTTATAGTTTCTTACCTAGAGTAATTATACAACCAATTAAATGAAGAATGTTTTCTTTTATTGCAGGCAAGGCAGTGTTAAGAGGCCTGACTTGCCACCACTGGACACCAAAAAGGACAAAATCATCTTCCAACAATTAGAGTTTGATCATTACATTGGACATGTCTATCCAGGTATGCCAGGTGCCCAGAGTGGTTCAGTACCAATCATGAGGATGTTTGGCATCACAGAAGATCAACACAGTGTCTGCTGTCACATTCATGGATTCACACCTTATCTTTATGTTAATCTACCAGATGATTTCACAAAAGCTGATTTAGAACCATTCAAAGTATATAAAATATTTAAAATTATAATTTTATATTGATTATTGTTTATATTCTTCAGAGCAAGTTGAATGATGCTTTGATTGCTGACAACAGACAGAAAAAAGACTTGATTGTTGAAGCTGTGCTCATGGTTGACATAGTACAAGGACAATCTTTGATGGAATACAAAGGTGATGACATGTGCAACTTTGCAAAGATCTCAGTTGCTTTACCAAGATTAATCCCGGCTGCTAAACGCCTGCTGGAGACTACTGTAGTGTATCCCGCGGCAGGACATCATGTTTTCACCGCGTTTGAATCGAATGTTGATATTGAAATGCGTTTTATGATTGATACTAAAGTATTGGGTTGTGCCTGGATAGAAATTCCAGCTGGTAAGTGGTTTAAACGTGGGCATGGTAGTGTTTTCCCGGTGCAATCAAGGTGTCAGTTGGAAATTGATGTTTCTTGGGAAGATTTCATTCCGCATGCGCCTGAAGGTGACTGGGCAACGGTTGCGCCTTTCAAAATGCTAAGTTATGACATTGAATGTGCTGGAAGGAAAGGTAAAATCATTTCTTTTATGTTTTTATGTAATTTTAAACTCTTTTTGTTTTAATAGGTGTTTTTCCTGATCCTATGATTGATGCTGTTATCCAAATTGCAAATGTTGTGCAGTTGCATGGACATCCAGAACCAATGTTGAGGAATATCTTCACTTTAAACACTTGCGCGCCCATTGGCTATGCAGAAGTCCATTCTTTTCAAACAGAGAGTGAAATGTTGGAAGCCTGGGCGGAATTTATCCGTCAGTGTGATCCTGACATCCTTTCAGGATATAATATCACTAATTTTGATGTGCCATATCTGCTTGAACGTGCTAAGAAGCTAAACTTGAAGAATTTCCCGTTTCTTGGACGAATTACAGCGATTAAATCCGAATTAAAAGAGCAAGTGAATCAAACTAAAGTCGGGCGTCGCCCTGTTAAACTCGCAAATTTCGAAGGACGTGTTATCTACGATATGCTCGTCGTTATGAAGCGTGATTTTAAATTGCGTTCGTATACCTTGAATAATGTGTCGAATGAAATTCTGGGCGAGTCTAAAGAAGATGTGCATCACAGTATTATCACAGATTTACAAAATGGCGACGATCAGACACGTAGGCGTCTTGCTGTTTATTGTATAAAAGACGCAGAACTTCCTTTACGGTTGATCAACAAAGTGAAGTCATTTATCAACGATGTTGAAATGTCCAGAGTCACGGGTGTTGCGTTGACTAACTTGTTGACAAAGGGTGAACAAGTGAAAGTCGTTGCGCAATTGTTACGACATGCAAGGGCTCATAATTATTTCATGCCGGTGCATCAAGGAATGGCAAGTTCAGAGCAGTATGAGGGTGCTACAGTCATTGAGCCCATTCGGGGTTATTATAAAATGCCGATTGCGACTTTGGATTTTAGTTCGCTGTATCCCAGCATCATGATTGCGCATAATTTATGCTACACAACACTTTTAAAACCGTCAAATAAAGATAAACTTGGGTATGTTTATAATTTCTATTAAAATTATTAATAATATTGATGAAAATTGATTTTTTTAGTTTGACGCCTGATCAAATCACGCAAACTCCAGCAAACTGTATGTTTGTGAAGTCATCAGTGCGCAGAGGTCTTCTACCGCACATTTTGGAACATCTACTTGCCGCCAGGAAGAAAACTAAAGCAGAACTTAAAGAAGCGACTGATCCTGGCATGCGTGCTGTGTTAGACGGTCGACAACTTGCGTATAAAATCTCCGCGAACTCTGTTTATGGATTCACAGGAGCGCAAGTTGGAAAACTGCCTTGTTTGGAAATTTCAGGCGTAAGTTACGATATTCTAATAAAATGACAATAATTTAATACTAAATAATGTTTAAAATACAGAGTGTAACTGCATATGGTCGTACGATGATTGAACAAACACGTCAGGAAGTCGAACAGCGGTATTGCATCGCCAACGGATACAAACACGACGCAAAGGTAATATACGGCGATACAGACTCAGTAATGGTCAATTTCCAAGTGAGTACACTTGAAGAAAGCATGGAATTAGGCCGGGAGGCAGCCGAACTCATCAGTCAGAAATTCATCAAACCTATCAAACTAGAATTCGAAAAAGTTTACTTTCCATACCTGCTGATTAATAAGAAACGTTACGCAGGTTTATATTTTACAAATACCGAAAAATACGACAAGATGGACTGCAAAGGTATCGAAACAGTGCGTAGAGATAACTGCACACTAGTTGTAAACGTCATTAATACTTGTCTACAAAAATTACTGATTGAAAAAGATCCGGATGGTGCAGTAGCGTTCACAAAGAAAACAATCGCTGATTTATTACAAAACAATATCGATATCTCTCAGTTAATCATCACGAAAGAATTGAGTAAATCTGATTATGCCGCAAAGCAAGCACATGTTGAACTTGCGCATAAAATAACAAAACGTGATCCTGGCAATGCTCCACAATTAGGCGATCGGATTCCGTATGTTATCATCGCTGCAGGAAAGAATAGCAAAGCTTACGAAAAGGCAGAGAATCCACTTTATGTTTTAGAGAATAACATTCCCATCGATACGAATTATTATCTGGAAAATCAGCTCTCCAAACCTTTGATTCGTATCTTCCAGCCTATTTTAGGTGATAATGCAGAGTCGATTTTATTAAAGGGTGAACACACTCGTAAAAAAACCGTGGTCACGTCGAAAATCTCCGCATTGGCTGCGTTTACAAAAAAACGCGAAGTTTGCCTCGGATGTAAATGTGTCTTACCCAAAGAACACGAAAAAGAAGCGCTGTGTGAGCATTGCCATGACAAAGAACCAATGTTATATCAAAAGGAGCTGAGTCATCATCGTCAACTCGAGGATAAATTCGCTGTTCTTTATACTGAGTGCCAAAGATGTATGGGGTCGCTACATGAAGAGATTCTATGCACAAATCAAGATTGTGATATTTTTTATATCCGCAAAAAGGTCCAAATGGAATTGGAAGGTAGTAAGACGCGTGTTGAGAGATTCGGTGCTTCCTGTTACGAAGAGGAGCTGTTTTAGGCACCGTGTGGTCGAATACTTACATTTATTAAAAATGTACAGTATAAAATTACATCGCTTCAGTTATGATACCATGATTATTTTAATTTTAATAGTATTTATGTTCTTCTTTTTATTTACTGTGTAATTGATGTTGAACGCAACCGAATTAATGAATAGAAGTAAAAATGCAAACAAAACGAAATCTGCAGTGTTTTTGTGTGTGCCCTGTGTCGCCTAACACAACTAACTTGGAATGAACGTAATTTTATAAATAAATAAACTCACTTTGGATAATTAATCAACGAGGAAGGCGCCTCGACGGGTTGATTAATTACGTATTGGGGCACGGCAAACGGAAAGAAACGATATGGTTGGAAACGAGAACAGACTAGATGTTACAGGGTGTATATGGGTGTGTGTGTTTGTCTAGAGGCCTGTTATTTCTTGTTCTGCAACGCGTTTGCCAGCCAGTCCATCGCTTGATCCAGGCCTTCGCCTTTTGTTGCCGACGTTTTGAAGATTTGGAACGTTCGGTTCTTGAGGGCTTCCAGGCCCAGGGCTTGGTGGACTTCGGCGACTGTCATGCAACCAGCCATATCTTGTTTGTTTGCTAATACTACCAATATTGCATCGTTTAATTCTTCTTCCTACAAAAATCAACAAAAATAACAATAACTGTAAAAAAATGCAGTTTTTAACGTTTTTTTTCAAATTATTATAAGTTATTCTTGATATTTTCGCTTATACAACTAATTTTTACCCTTAACATATGGAATAATTCATCTTTCGATATTCCTATCCTTTCTTTATCGGCTGAGTCAACAACATAAATTATTGCATCTGTATTACTGTAGTAACACCTCCAATAAGGCCTGAAAATTTAAATATTACTAGTTAGTAAATACTGATTATAATTACAATGAAACCCTACCTAATACTTGTCTGACCACCTAAATCCCACACTTGAAACTTTAGATTTTTATATTGTACTTGTTCTACATTGAAACCTATAGTAGGAATAGTTGTGACGACCTCGCCGACCTGTAGCCGATAAAGAATGGTTGTTTTGCCAGCGCCATCCAGACCCAAGATTAAGATGCGCATCTCGCGAGCACCCAACAGGCCGCGAAAGTATGACCACAGACCGCCTGTGAATACAAGAGATGAATTGCTGGATAACCTCATCAGTGTTTTGTTTATCGCCGCTTACCCATTTTGTGATTGTTGTGCTTTCGAATCGAGGTGTGATCGGTGACTTAGGACTATCGCGCACTGTGAGCGTACATTAGAACTTCATGCTGCACAGCAGAACAATGTGTTTCGTAGTAAATATTTGATTTTATTTGCGCCCAGTCCTGACGTGTTCAATTGCAAACGAAGTACACAAAACTAACAGATGTCAGGGAATCTGGTGGAATCTAGGGGAAAACCGATGACATTGGCATGGAGCAAAGTTTAGTGTATACGTGGTTGCATATGATGATTAAATATTATTTAAACATTAAATAAGGCTTATTTTGTAAAGAATAAATAAATAAATGCATTAATAATTTATAACATAACAGATTAATTGATTAATATTTGATTTTATGAAGAAAATATTTACTTAAATTCAAATAAAAACTTTGTAGCGCCATCTCAAAAAGACTTTCTTTGTTAAAATTGAGTAACACCAACATATGTTGTGTTCCTACATCAAAAAAACAACATACCAACACAAACAAACAACTATATCAAACGTAGTATTCAGATGGCGCTAGTATGCACTTTTAACTCATATTTTGTTAATAATTTTTTGTGCGTGTTTACATTTTAAAGCATAAAAACTATCAACATAGATAAAATATTTATCTCTTGTCTCACAAGCAAATATTCTAATATTTCGCCTGTTTACTGCCCATGTTAAAATATCAATACAAAATATTTTAAAACATTTACCTATATTCTAAATAAAATAAACGTTGTAACGATAATTACAATCATAAATATTCTCGCAGCATTAATTAATTCATAAATAATTCACATTCCAACGGAAATATTTATGCTACGAATGTTTTTTTTATCTTAGACGATGTCCAACATCCTGTTAAACGAAACTATGTAGATACCATATTTACCATCAACTGACAAACTCCGAATTCAACGAAATCATTAATTATAGTGTCGAGAATTTTGAAGAATTCACATTACCTGGTTGACCACTCCAAACGCTGTGCTTTGCGTTTGGAATATTACGCAAGGTGCGGTTTGAGTTTAGTGATGCGAGCTTTAACTGTTGTTCGACATTTCCAGCGTCAAATCTTGTCGCAGCGGTCTCATATTTTACATAACGATTACGTATTCACAATCTCGCTCTCCAGTTTTAAAATTTGCGAGTGTAATAAATGCTTTACGGTTCAAACCTCGCATGCAAACGCAGTACGTGATGGCCGAACACGTGCACTCCATTCCGGTGATTATCTACTATCATTTTACTATGTGCATGATAAGAATATTAAATATTAATGAGCTGTGTATTAAATTTTATATTTCAAAGCGTAAAAACGCTAATTTTCCACTCTAAACTCATGAAATTATAGATTTAGATAGTTGTGTTGTGGTTTTTTGTTGTTGGCACTTGAAAGTTAAAGGGAAAAGAAGAAAGAGGCGTGTAAAGTGTAAGAACTCGTAAGTATGCAACGCGTGCCATGCCTAAATTCACTCCTCAGAGTTGAATTTGTTATATTAAAAGAGTTTGAGTGAAGATGTTGATGGAATGGTGTAGATCCGTCCCTGTAACAATTACATACTTATTATCGGTCGCTGGGCATGCTGGGCATGGCACAAAGACGCAAAATCCTCACCATTCGAAACCTGTTTGATTGAAAAAGCGCCGGCGGCGTCGAGCGCGCACTCGGACGCGCTCCAAACGGCCTCGAGGAAGGTCCGAAGAGCTCGATGGCTCCGCCCGTGTGTGCGAGTCCTTCGCGCTGCGTCTTTCGCCACCGCACGAATAACCTGCTTTGACCCTAAAACTGCGCCCATGGCTATTGTTGTTTACAATCGCTGCTGCTGCTGCTGCTGGCTGACCACGGAGCACACTCTACTCTAGGTATTCTGGGCCACATGACTCTTTTCTTCGTGGTGCGCGTGTTGTGTGTGATGCAGTGATTTCTTTAAGAAACATGCGTGCGGTGCCATTTAATTCAATTTGTGTGTGATTAGTGTGTAAATGGTGTTGTAAGAAGTTATTGCGATGAAGCTGGCATACTTACCGCCATGGCCCAGCAAGAAGTCACAAAGGACGAGTGGCATCATCACAATCAGGCCCTCAATTCCATTTCCACGGGTGCTGGTGGCACAGGTGGTGCTGGGGAGGTGAGACCTGTCACTCAGCAAGCCGCTGGCGACAAATCCGGTAATTCGATTGAACCTCAACCCCAATGGATCGGCGTGGACCATTTGTCAGGGCCGTTGAATCCGCTTTGCATCACGGACGCTAATCATGAAATACTGCGACCCAAACCGAGAAGGTATAAAATTTGTCGTCTTTTTAAGTTTAAAATACTTTTCTGGTTTCAATTTTCTGATTTTGACATATTATATAGTTGAAGACATTCAAAAACTTATTTTAATATCCGGTACCATTGAGAATTGTTATATTGATGTGCCGATCAGTGAATGGTAGACGAAAACGTACAAAACGGAATTCTGAAAAGTTCAAACATGCTTTATGTGTAACTGTAACTTTCTCAGGGGAGTACGAAGATTGATACAAACCGAATGATTAATGTGCGCACGTTTTAAGAGACTTTTTTCCGCCGCATGGAATCTAATACGCTGAGGTTAGAGCAATGAACTTCATCACTGTCCCCAAAATTAATGAAATAGATCCGAAACAATCAATTTAAGATGAAATTGATTTACGCTGGGGTTATGTATGCTTGGTTGCATATATCGATCTTACATTAACCACATTTTCACATTTTTTACGCTTTATTTCAAGATTCTGGTATTGATTGGTCCTCTTTAATTATATTGCCGCCAGACAGGTAATAAAATGCCCTAGTTAATTAAACATTGATTAGTTTTATCTTTTGCTCTCTGTGTGTAGATAGCGAGAGTTGGCAACTTTTAACATAAGTGATTCATAAACAAAAGTGAACGTGTTACCTATGTCCAGTAAAGTTGATGAAGCTCACAATGAGAATTAAACTTGTCATGCATGCAATTCGCAACTCTATAACTCTAGTTAGCTGTTATGTCGCTCGACACAAATGCTTTCGGCTGTCGAGTTTGTAACTTTGAAATTGTTGCCAGTTGACAATAGTTGCGTGAATCGCTGGATAAAGTTGATTAATTTAATAAATCCAGCGCTGAAAATTTCATAGTTTCAGCTAGAAAATAATATAATCCACTCGTACAATTTACTTTGTGTAATAAAGTCTTTCTGAGAGAAAGATTTTTCTTTCAAAAGTATAAGTAATTAATACCGTTTCCTTTGATACGAGTATTACGCAAGTAAAACTTGTGAAATAAGTTGCCTATGCTTCTCAACAGTGGCGGAGCTTTCAAAACTTTATTCTAACCTTGTAGCAGAAAGAAAAACAGCTGAGACTTCATATAATGCGTTGAATTGTTTATTTTTAATCTAATCGTAGTGAATCTTCAAGCTGAAAGTATACTTTGAATTAAACCCCAACTTTTTTCTTTGTTACTTTCTTTTCGCATACAAATCCGACGTGAAACGCTGGCGGAAAGAAAAGAAAACAGTCTGAAAAGGAAACTGTAATATAAAAGCCGTTGAAAAGATAAAACAAAGAAAATTTTAACGAATTTAAAAGCCCAGGATGTTCTAATTAATTAAAAATTAAAATACAATCAATAATTAACATTATATTAATAATTATTTTAAAATATGATATTTATTAAGAATCTAGGCGTGTTTTTGATAGAAAATGTATTTTTACTCTGCGTGGGAGTCATTCAACACCACTACTACGGAAAACATTGTCAACATCGTCGTTGGTGACGCGAAAATAAATATCAACATTCAATTTATCCACCTCTGCAACCTGCTGGTTATGACATTAATAACCTTGTGCATTTTTGGCGCACAATACAGTTACGGCATTAATTCACGCTGCGTGGGCGCAACTAGAATTCGAAATTTTGAATATTACAATTATAAATTGTAAGTGAATTTCGCGTGCTAATTAAAACAAACCAGCGAGCGAACTACTGATGTCGGAATTTAATTTTAGCCGAATTACAAATGAAATTGTTTATTGATACTAAACCCTGGGATTACCTGAATGCTCACTGAGCTAATTCGGAGAATGTTACTATTTTCCATTTTGGTATAAAAAATTCCACGTGCACTTATGTAAGGTGTAAATTTCTAGGATTTACGAAATAGACGCGGTGGTAAAATCGATGAAAACGTGCAAGATGAGTGATGATGAATGATTATGACGTTTATATCGCTTGTTGTCGATTCGCGCTTCATTATACCGGGAATAACTAATAATTATCGTTTGATCATGCGACGTAATCCAGCGTGACATTAAAATAGTGCGATTGGAGCTTTGCAGAGCGCTTTGATGGAATTGATCGCGCAATATTACACCTGTTACGTTGTCGGGCGGCAACCCAACAAGCACAGACCATAATTTAATGTTTAAATTTGTGTTATTTCATTTATAATTCTCATTATTCTCATAATTAATCGTATTAGTTAAAAATTAGCTTTGTGTGTTTTTAATTTCAACTTTAAAAACTCTAAAATTTGATTTCCTGTTTTTTGTTTTGTTTGGTTTAATAAATATTAATGGGATGTACAGAATAATTAACCCTCTCATAATAAACACCGTGTTGATGTTCGTTACTTATCTGAGAGGATAACAATCTCGTAATTGTAATAGCAAAGTCATGTTTATGTTCACTAATAATATAATGACGAAAACTTGTTTTTTTTGTTTGGGAATTTTAATTGAAGTTGAAACAAAAAATTGAATACTTTTATTTGTTTATGTGTGTTGGGAAATATTTGCGAACATGAATTGAATATAATATTTGATTTTGTGGATGTGGAATCGTGAAATTTGTTTTTGCACGCATAAATATTGGATTTTAAGTGTAAATATTCCATTGAAGAGGCAACTTTTTCAATTTTATGTTATCCGACTTTTTGATTTATTTTGATTAAAATAAATAAATAATTATTTATTGTACATTTTATAATAGAATAAACACAATAAAATAAAATTTTACATAAAAATAAAACTATAAATAAAAATTGGTGTATTGTTGGTTGCCTATAGTGTTATAGTACATGAATAGTTGCCTAATCAAATTTTTGTTTTATTTTGTTTTTAATTGAATAACAATGTGTACAACCGCAAAATACGACGTGTCTAAGTGTTATTGATGGTTTAAGTTGTCTACAATGAATACGATTCACTAAACACTAAGCGATTTGCACCGAACTTAATGTAAAACCATTCAAAGCTTTAAGCTCGGCTTTGCGCAAGTTTTAAACTTTTGTAGGGAAACTTTGCGCTTCGCTCACACACACAAAATTGAATACACTGTGTTTATTTACGTGTATTTTGTTTCTAAATATTAGAATTAATTTATACAACTTGTAGAAACGTAAAATCTAGATTAGATGCATTTGTGAAAATTTTATAAACTCAAAAAGTCTTTTACCGTGTTAAATTTAATCATATTTCCAAGAATAACATAAAACGTAAAAGAATTCAATGTTTGAAGAATACTAAGCACTCCAGACAGAAAATGTAACACGATTAGGGAAGCAGAGCAAAGCGGAAAGAAAATAATGAAGAAAAAAGAACATTGGTTCTGTACACATCGCAGGTGCCGCTTAAAATGTATCAAATTTAATAAATAAATGAATTTTTCCTTTGCCAATGATAAAAAGAAAACTCGAAACCCTAAATAAATGAGTTATTTGCTTTTAATTGAGGTTGCGTGTAAAAAATACACGATTTTTTGTCACAACACAAGAGAATTTCATGTTTTAAACAATTTATTAAGGAGCGTAATTAATTGCGTCGCAGGAAATGTCAAAATATGTTCATATTTCATTCGCCAGTGGGTATTTTGCTACATTTTTGTTGAATATCGAGCGAAAAATGTGAAAACAATTGCCGTAATCACAGGCTGTCTGCTCGGGTGTAGCTGCAATGAATGAAGAAACCAAAGACAGAACAAAACCGCTGTAGTCAATGTAATTTCCAATTAATTTAATGTAATTTGCATCTTAATTGCGCCTTGGTATTGTTTACTCCAAAAGTTTAAGGTTTTACGCGCGTAGACAACATCTGCGACAGCGAAATGAAAGTTTTTTTGTATTAACAAGATAAAAGTTTGTTTTATTTTACTGAATAGGCAATAAAAATGTTTTTTTGTTGATAGAAGCTCCAGGTCGTGACTAAAGTCCGTGAGTAAAGTACTTTAGTCACGGTTTTGGCCGTACGTGTGTAAATTATTACTTTTTGTGTTTTAAAACTATGGAGAAACTAAAAAATAAAAAAATATAAACATAATTTTTCCCCCCGTGACTAAAGTTCGTGAAAAAATACTTTAATCATGGCTATCCGTGGGTAAGATACCACGTTTTATATCTGAAAACCGTAAAAAAACTAAAAAATTAAAAAAAACTATAAAAATTCCACCTCGTGACTAAAGGCCGTGACTAAAGTACTTTAGTCACAGTTTTGGCCAACCATGCTTAAAATACCTTTTTATATGTCTCAAACCCTTGGAAAAAGGATGAAAAGAAGAAAAAAGGGAAATATTTTTCTATTTACGTTTACTTTGGTTGATGGAAGTTAATAAAACTTATTACCAGTTAAAATTTCATTGAAGTTTCTATCGAACGTCAATAATAATCATCAAAAATTGAAAAAGTTTTGATTGCGACGACTTTCGAAGTGTTTTTTCCTCCACTTTCAAACTTGTTGAATTGAATACGCAATTGCAGCTTACACAAGTGTTACATTTATGCAAGCAAGACATCCAGCAGGATGGATAAAAATAGATTTTTATTACTTGAAATACAATATTCCAAGAAAAGCCCCATATTGTCTCGGAAAATATGAGACGTCATTATATTAACTTAACAATTGTAATATGTCGGATAAAATGACAGAAAACAGTGACATAACCTGATTTCAAAGCTCAAAAACGCGCATATTCTGTATTCTGTATCAATTCGCAAATCGTCTTTTAATGTGTCCTCAATATTAGATCCAAACATGAATATACATATTTATCTAACGGTAGAGTATTGTTCTCTGCGGAAAGCAAGTAATTTGCCTGTAATAACAATTTTCCGCCTTGCTTCGATAAATTAGAAACGCAAGTTAAAAACGCATGAACGCGCCACGGC